AGATTACGACGAATTTGTCCACTTTGCGGCCTGCGTGGACCAGCATCAGCTTTGCGACCCGAATACTACCCCTCCAAACTGCACGGCTCTTCACGGATGGACGACTCTTCAAGCGGGAGCATTGGATTTACCATGGACTACGTCGCGTCAGCTGGCCACAGCGCTACGTGTCCAGCAAGTGTTGCAATACTCGTCCATGTTCTACACCACTTCTGGACGGGGCGGTCTGGCTCTGCGTGCGTCGGAAAAGGTGTCGGATATCATCAGCGCAGGCCTCCCAAATAATCAGTGGATGCTCGAGATGTCGAATCTATTTGCGATGGCGCTGGCTCGGCTCCAGCACAGCGTCGTGGAGTATGCCACGGGGCCTTCCGACGTTACAGATGGGATGATCGTGCAAGGCCCCTCGGACTCGGAAGGTCGAGCTCTCTGCTCTGCACAGATGATACGAAACACGGGCTTGTACGCGAACTTCTCGGTGCTCGGCCTAAGTCTTATCGTGGGGTTGGGGACACTCATCATTATTGCCAGCATTGTTCTGGAGGCTGTGGTCGAATTCTTCCGTCGTCGCCGCCAATACAAGTCGGTCAACGATGCTGTGGACAAGAGCTTACAGTGGGTTCTAGACGGCAAATTCCAGCTCATGCGCCTGGCATATGAAGGTATCGGTGTCGGGACGTGGGTTCGGACAGGGCAGCATATTCCAGTGGTCAAGGAAGGAGAACAAAAGATCTTTCGCGCATTCAAGGAATCCAAGATGGACCGTGGGGACTCCTGACGGAACATCGAGTCTGTTCAGTTGATATCAGTGTATACCTCTGTCTACCTCGAGACACGCTGATGGATGACCTCACTCACACATCATTCCACGCGATGGATAAACCGAGGTACGAAGGAGAGGGTGTCATGTCGTGCTTCTTCCGTCATTCAACCCGCAGATGTCGACCACGAGATCTTCCTTTGCCGTTCAATCCCAGCGGAAACCCATGGCAGCCACTCAGATGGGCGAATACGAGCTCCTCCCCGTCCTTGGCACAGATAATTCCACATTCAACGGCTTCCAATGACGCTCGGGACAGAATGCGGGGTTCCGTATATTATGAAAAGCCAAGATGATCGTCGACAAGTAGCTTTATCAAAACCCCTGCTTGTGTTGCATTTGTACCTCCAAGCCCTTGTTTGCTGCCTCTCACAACTCATGCCGGTCACCTCTAGCAGCTTGGCAATTGTCATTCTCCCATGCTTCGATAGGAAGGAGCCACGGGAGCACGATCTGAGGGATGGAGTTGTGTTGCGGTTCTTGCGGAAAAGGTCGACCATGATCCACTGCGCTCGAGTGATAAAGAGCAGGATTCTCCCTGCTCATACAGCAGATATGTATTCACTCGTCGGACCGGAATCTAGACATCCGAAATGCTGCTCAACAGGCTTCTCGCTCTACTCGCTCTTCGTTCGATCGCCGTGCTTGCTTGCGGGCGAGAACACCTCCGTTCTCAGGTGTTTGACCCGCATGTTGCTCTTTCAAAGAGGCAGGAGACAGTGTTTCCTCCCGTTCTAGACCAGAATGAAGCCATCTTGCTCAATTCATTTGACAACACCACCATTGAGAGTTGGAGCTACTATTATACTCATGGTCTTCATGTGGCCGGTACCAATCAATCAATGGCCCAATGGACGGCCGATCGCTGGAATGAGTACGGCTTCACGGCGGGCTTGGTATCATACTGTACGCCCTCGGGCTCCTTTGCGAGAAAACAAGACTGAGTGAAAGTAGACGTCTACCTGAACTACCCGGTGTCACATTCATTGACCGTATCCTACGCCAACGGTTCGACTTTCTCTCCATTACTTGAGGAGGAGGTATTGGCAGAGGATGAGACGACGTCTTACCCCAACAGAGTGCCTACTTTCCATGGCTACTCCTTCACTGGCGACGCTGAGGCCGAGTACGTCTACGTCGGACGCGGCCAAAAAGTGGACTTTGAACGCCTAAAGGCATTGGGCGTGCAGCTCGAAGGTAAAATTGCACTCGCGCGCTATGGCGGTCCATTCCGCGGGCTCAAGGTGAAGAACGCGCAGGATAATGGCATGGTTGGGTGCATTATCGTAAGTTACATGTCCCCTTGACCCTTTGCAGCGTATGGAAAACTACTACTCGGCTGGATTATTGCAATGCCATTCGACATGACAAAGCGAGGAATTGACACGTTTACAGTTCACAGACACCGCAGATGATGGGAACGTTACCGAGGCGAATGGCTATGCAGCATATCCAGATGGACCAGCGAGAAACCCTACCTCAGTACAACGTGGCAGTGTCGAATTTCTCTCCACGTACCCAGGTGATCCCGAAACACCAGGCTACCCGTCGAAATTTGACTCGCCAAGGTCGGACAGGTCTGTGGTGACGCCTCAGATACCGTCTCTGCCGATCTCGTGGAAAGATGCACAGCCTCTCATCCAAGCTCTCGATGGACACGGTCCAGACGGCCAGACGATCAACCGCACCAACTGGATCGGCAAGCTCAATGCGACCTATTCGAGCGGACCGGCTCCAGGGACCACTATTTCCATGTCCAACGTCATGCGTGACGAGATCACTTGGATCTGGGACAGTATCGGAATCATCAACGGCACTAATGAGGACGAGGTCATCATCCTCGGAAACCACCGTGATGCCTGGATCGTGGGCGGTGCGTCCGACCCCAACTCCGGCTCTGCCGTCTTGATAGAGATGGCCAAAGCGTTCGGGGCGCTCTTGAAGACCGGCTGGAAGCCCAAGCGCACGATCGTCTTTGCCTCCTGGGACGCAGAGGAGTACGGCCTGCTCGGGTCGACTGAATGGGTCGAGGAGTACATCCCCTGGCTCAAGGACTCGGCGGTGGCGTATCTCAACCTCGATGGGGCCACTTCCGGACCCAACCCAGAACTGTCCGCCACTCCCGAACTGCACAAGATCGCGACCGAGACCATGAAGAAGGTCGTCTACCCCTACCACGGCTTCAACAACCTGACATACTACGACGTCTGGTACGGCTTGAGCGAAGGCGAAGTGGGGGTACTCGGTTCCGGCAGCGACTATACGGCGTTCGTGCACAATGGCATTGCTTCGCTGGATACGGGATGCGGCGGTGGGGCCAATGATCCCATCTACCATTATCACTCCAACTACGACAGCTTCCACTGGATGACCACGTTTGGTGATCCGGAATTCCTCACGCACAAGGCTGTTGGGCAACACCTGTCCCTGCTGGTCTACCATCTCGCCAACGAGGACATCATCCCATTCGACGTCGAGAACTACGGCGTGCAAATGACTCTGTACCTGGACGAACTGGCCGATCTCGTCGAGTCGGAGAACGCCACTTCCAGCGTTGACCTCTCGCCCCTCGAAGCCGCCATCTCAGCCTTCAACGCGTCAGCTCAGGCATTCACCTCTTTCGTCCAGACCGCCTCCACCGACGCCGATGTCAAGCTGGCAAACGCCAAGTTGAGGGACTTTAGCCGCGGGTTCGTCTCCCAGGGCGGTCTGCCCACCAGGGAGTTCTACAAGCATGTCGTGTTCGCGCCGGGTCTGGACACGGGCTATGCCCCGGTTGAATGGCCCGGGGTTACAGAGGCGGTTGACGGCGGTAACCTGACACTGGCGCAGCAGTGGGTCGAGAAGTCGGCCAGGGCTGTGGAGGTTGCGGCCAACATCCTGACACCGTGATTTGGTAGTTGTCTGGAGACGGGACTGGAGTTTGCAGTCGCGCAAAAATATGTTAGGTGCTTTGCATGCTCACAAGCCTCACGAAGAGCTGCGGCCAAGTTCGACCGACCATGGAAAGTCGTTGGCATGAGTGTATGTATACTGTGCAGGTGCAGGGCATGAACAGACAGACTCCATCGAAGATGTCTCAGTGGAGTTGCTAAACCATGTGAGAAGGCAGGAGATGTAGGAGACTTTAGTTCACATATCATATATATCAATCAAACAGTAATGAATATCTCATCAGAATATCGGGCGTGTTGACAAGGAGGAGCGAATGTATACATTGCAGTGTTCAATTCACCCTCCCTGGCGCAATAGAGAGGATGTTGGTGTGATAGTGCCAGCACTAGAGATGAGTTGCAGATCCTGTCATGTTAGCCTGGAAATTCAGTCATAGTTCAATATACCCGGCAGCCATGCCGGCAAGCTACGTCGGGCCAGACTCTGAGGAACCATTAATCCGTCTTCGCGGGTAGCTTCGTCGCCGGTTATGTTTAGATGGTGGAAATCCCGTAGAGAGGTAGTATGTTACACGTATCTATATAGTCCAGGCTTGGCCTATGTGTCTCGATGATGAGTGAGGCCCTTCACCTTGATTACTGGCGCCTTCCAAAGAACTGGGTGACCGGTCCCTGGTTGAATGGTGTCAAAACCGGCCGAGGTCGATACATTTGAGCTGAGTAGTCTGGGTACGGACGAGTATAATACCAGTAGACGGATACGCCGCAGTGTCTCTGAAGGCAGCAGGCCGACATATCCCCCCTCCCGCCATTCCTGACCGGGTCACGCCCAACAACACGGTCGGAATGGGGTACCCACGCTTTACCCAAAGAGGTCCCTGCACTAGTCCCAAGATGGAAATCTTGGCAACACTTGGCGCTGATTATTGTTCCATGATTGGTCCGGGGATCCCATGTGGCATGGAGTGACTGCTCTGCAAGACACAGTTCGCATGGCGCAAACAACAAGGACCGGTTAGAACGACTACAAATGAAGCGATGAAGCAGCCATAGACGAGGCCAGAACTTCTTAGTAATGACAGCCAGCCTGTCGATCTCTTGCGATCTTGTGGAGCCCTAGAACTTCCTGGTGCCCGTTCCTGAGATGAATCTGCTAATCAGGCGAAAGCCGTGAGCTCCTCGCGCGTCCCCTCGAATATGTTTAATAGTCGTGCCGTCTCTCCAGAGCTCTGCCGTCCTGTATCCCTCTCTGCCGGACCTGGTGACTTGAAAAAAGGCTCTGAGACATGGACAGTCCACCCGAGTTCGACTCGCACGCGTTTGTTTTTCTCGTGGATTTCAGCTCTCTCCGTCCATCGTCTCACTTCGAACGAAAGTCGGCGATCAATAGCCATGCTGCCAGGAGAATGCACTTGAAGCGGAGAGAGTCGACAAAGGATCGACTTCGCATCAGTGGCATGTCGATCTGGACGTGGCAAGGCACGCTGTCGAGTGGACGAATCTTGAAAACGGACGAGCCTTCTTCTCTTGATGTGGCGTGCAAGAACCAAGTGAGTTACGCGTTGAATAGATCCAGCTTCTTACTATCTGCCTGGTGTATGATGATCCTTTACCATGTTCTGGTACCTCGAGAGTTACCCTAACGCAAGTCTCACTCCCCGCAGGAACGCAGCAGAAAGCCACCGCCACTCAGCCTTAGGGGTTGTCGACATGATCTAGAACTGGCTAGACAATGCTGTCTCAACAGCCTCACCTGTCGCCGGTCTCGAAGACGGGTTCACCGTGATGCTTATACCCCAGAACAATCGACTCACGATCGTTGCTGTGAAGGCTTGGAGGATTCCAACGAGGATGACAGTCGTGGCTTGAAATCAGAGCCGCTGTCTCCAGGTTCGGAAGGCGCAATCCAAAGCCCAAAGGCAGCAGCGAATTCGGTAGCTGTCGTCGATCCAGGAGAAGGGGCTTGTTTCGCCTTGCAGTCTTTCATCTGCACAAGCGCCGAGCGCGAGCTTCTCCATTGTCGTAAGCATTCCACCCTTCCACATACTCACTAGGGGCAAGTCATAACATACTCCGCACATCCAGTTTACAATACGACGACAAAAGTGGGCCATACTTGTGTCCCGATAGCCACTCTATGCTACTTACGACAAGTGGCGCATCAATTCGTCCATGACGAGGCCGTTATGGAGCTGACCCGGTCGTTCTCCAGTTATGTTTGGTCGAATTTCTTGGGGGGAAATGTCCACTATGAGAGACGGGCGTTGACGCATAAGATCAAGGGGATGGCGCTCGTCATCGAGCAGCTGGGGCACCCGCAATCCTCGGCCTTGGAGAGTTCCATTCAAGCGGCTTTGATCTTGTCGGCAATAGAGGTGAGTAACCCCCTCCCGCAAGTGGGGCGTACTCTAAAATATATATATGCCTTACAGGCCTGTGCAGGGAATATCGAGGGTTTCAGAATTCATATCTCGGCTGCTAGACAGATGGTCAAAATTTGTGGCGGCCTGGATAATCTCAGCCCGCTCCTAATAGGGCAAATATGCTCGTAAGGGGCCCTTCTCTCCTGCAGTTCGATCATGGCATCTTGCTGACATGGTATTGCACTCCCGATGGAAGATTCGAGCCAGGTATTCACCGAGCGATTGGTACTGAGACATTTCCTTGTACGGATCGCCACTTCGGCACCTTCCTTCTCAATTGCCGGCGAGACGTTGCTACAAAGCATACCGCATTCAACAGAACATCACCAACTGCCAGACAACCTATTGAAGAGGTGCAGGAGTTTTGTGATCCCCTTGATCTGCCCCCGAGTCTCTACTTCTCTGCATGTATTACGGAATTTCTGTCAGTTACGAAAGAGTTTCGAGAGCTTAGTATTGCGAGGAGTCAGTTCTTGGCCGATCCATCAACCGAGTCGCGGTCCGCATACGCTTCAGCAAGGTGTCGATCAGTATCGGACACTTTTAGCTCGGCACTCCAGTGGATCCTCAACCCAGACTACACTCCAACAGAATCAGACCGTAGCAAGCAAAAGTCGACATCTGCGGCTGTGGAACAGCAGAATGCAACGGGATTAGTTTGTTTGTTCTACATCCACGCCACACTTTGGAGGTATAGGCATGAGCCAGTAGAGACAGATGGGTACATGAAGAGCGTGGCGGAGAAGGTGCAACGCAACGGTTCGGAGTTGAGTAAAAGTCTGGATGCATTGTCTTCACTGCTTGTTTGGATTTGCGTGAGCGACGAGAATTTGAAAATGGAGGACAAGCAAGTGGGTTGGAGAGGACTGACGAGGCTGGTCTCCCGCTTAAGTCGTGTTGCGTTGAGGTTGAGCAGACGCAGCCGAAGGAATCTGGAGCTGGCGCTATTTGAAGGCCTGCGAGGGAGGATGCAGCCATCTATGATTGAGGAAGTTGAATGTGTCGAGAGTCCTGAGCCGACAACCGATGATTGCATTTGGCCCAATCTTGAGGGTATCTGGAAGGAACTCATTGAGTAGCATTACCACTGCCACATATCTCAAAGATAGCTGGGCAGGAAAGGGCACACCCACAAGCATCCGGAATGGACGAGGCTCTCGCCTTTGAGTCCATCGGCAGTCTGGAACTCATACCGCATATTTCGCCTACTTTACCAGGTGCGATATTGCCCGTGCCATGAACCGCACGGCAGGTATCCTTATCTGCTCTGCCGAGATTGGCGACATGTTCAGCCAAATCATGACTACTGTTGACCTTCGCCAGAGTGACTTGAGCGCTAGAGAGTAGTGAGTATGTATACCCTCCGTCTACGAACCTGATTGGATGTGCCTACTTGACACCTGGACCGACCCCTCCGCTAAGGACGAGGTATTTCTCTAGGCACCCGCTACCGAAGGAAGGCAAAACTATCCTTATGGACTAACCCATTACTGTGAAAAGGAGGCGTTCTCGTCCCGCGGGCTTGCAGGATAACGATAGCAAGCTGCTCTGTGGACCGACCTATGAGATATGCCCTCCCCAACTTTGGCCTTGTTTGAACAAGCAGAAGACATTGGATGGGGCCGACATATCCGTGGCGTGATATTGGCTTTCTTTGCAGACCAAGAGTCTTCAACCACTCTTGGGCATCATCGCTAAAAGCCACTTCGCTTCATGATTGATAATACCGCCACTTCAGCGATCTCCTCGTCGGGATTGGGCGCTCTTGGACTGCCCAAGGGCGTGTCTCGCTAGTTATTGAACAAGCCTCTCCTTGGACAGTTTGGGAAATGCTTATTAAGGCCTTGGGATGTCAAGGCACCACACCAATGCTGTATAGGCACAATCTGGCTTCCGAGGCGTGAACTGGCGCAAAAGCTGACCTCTGAATGATTCAGCAAGCGGACTGGGACTTCAACACGCGCTCGTCGTGCTCGGTTTGGTCACTAAGGAGGTTCCGACGGAAAGTTCCCCCAGTAGCAGCCAATGCGGGATGGTTCTCGGACTGCAGCCCTACATCAACGTCTCGGGCACCTGGGTGCCAAGGTGTCTAGAGCATCTCGGCTGGGGGCTGGAGAAGCTTCAAGCAATCAGCAGCAGAGCGACAACACCTAGCCCTGCCGTTGTGCGGAAACCTATTTGGTCGACACGGCCTCTCAATCGCCCTTGTAAGACCGCGACACACAAAAGGGGAGAGAGACAGAGAGAGAGAGACAGACCGACGTCTTCTCCCGTCTACCTTCTCCCGTGGCCATGCGAGACATCATGGTGATTGTCTTTCTCCTGCCTAGAAGGATATGTTGCTGCATCAATAGGTTGAGCGTCTAGGATTATACCAGATATTCGTGGCAAGGGGTGAACCTCTGAATTTGTGGGATCCAACAACTCCATGGAGCCCATTGAACTATGCTTTGTCGAGGGCCGTCCCAGCAATCCAACCCAACGGGCTAAAGAACTGGTCAACTCGGCTGTCCGCGCGCACAATGCCAAAGTCACTCACGCGAAACGCAGTAAGAATGTCGCGGCACTTGTCGCCGGGCGCCAGTCAGCCTCGATTGAGCCGCTGGTCACTCGCTTTCGCGTAGTGCCGGCAGCGCGTGAGCGAGACCGCCAGCGAGCCGACGAGGAAGAGGTCTCGAAGCGGGCGCAAGATATTGCTCGCGCAGAACAGATGGGCCACTTTAAAGGCAAGCAGTGGTTATACGCCATGCTGCACCGCCAATGGATGGATGCCATATGGACTCCCTTTTCGGGAAATGTTCCAAAGCACATTGCAATATGTACGCAAGCCTTGTTCTCTCAGTACCGCTGAATCTAGAGCTACATTTCCCTCGGAGCTGACACGCTTTCATTCAGACCAGCAAATGATTGTACCAAACATCCAACTCGCTTTTGAAGTCTTCCACGTGCGCAACACTCACAACTACGAGTTTCTTCTCTGGATGACGCGACCCACGACGTCGGGTTATCATGCTGGGGCTGCTGGGTTGCAGCTTCTCTACGACCAACAAGTCTCACCTGGGTGTGGACAGACCCGTCAATGTCTCTCCCACAAGGTGCAAGCGTCTGTAATCTTAAGAGAGACCTTGTCCCGGTCAATGACCAGAGTGCCTGACGACGAGTTGCTCGTCATCTTGTCCTTGGCCACGGTAGAGGTAAGACTGAACTTCATCCTAACATCGTTACGCTGTCCACATCTAACATTCAAAGTAGAGGACCGTGGACTTGTCGGTACACCAGTATCATCTCGAGACACTGTCAAAGATTGTCAAGGCTCAGGGTGGTATACATCTGGTAGCCGACCACCCTCAGTGCACGATTCTCCAGTAAGCACCATATTTCTCAATACCGTAGATTCGAAGAAAGGCAGGGGACAACATTGGTGAATCCTTGCTAACACCTGACGTCTCTTATGGTAGGTTCGACGCATGGTGGAGCCTGTCAACAGGACTCCGATACTTTTCCTCCCCGCTGTCTCTCCCTCAGCCTGAAGCCGAGCCGGAAAGGCTATCGAGTCGCTTTCGGGACCAGATCCACGAGGTTCCTGTGGGCTTCCACCGCTTTATTCTCGACGGGAAATGGTCCGCCAGCACCGTCGAGATCCTGATCCGTCTCGCGTACGTCTACCAGCGAGGAGGGAAAGTGGAAAGAAATGAGGCGGGACGGATCATTGGCCTTCCCATTACGGCCCAGCCAGTATGGCGAACTTTTCAAGAGGCGTGTCCAGCGCTGGACGCTCCGGGGGCAGACCTGGAGAAGCTCCTGGCACTGGCCTTGGTCTTGTATTGTGGTATCGGCTTCGACTCGGCGCCCGTGTCGAGCAATGGGGGTCTCGCATCCAGGGGGGCTCTAACTAAACTACTCACTTTGGATGAGTCGTCGTCGTCGTCATCATCATCATCATCGTCCTTGCCAACGCGCTCGCCCTCGCCCCTGCCACAATCAACCAAGTCGCCGGACGATGAGCCCTTCGTCTTTTGGATATGGATGGTTGCGATCTGCGCGTGGCACAATGCGTCAAATAGCGGATTCCTGCCGCCGGGCATCGACCTGCTGCAGAGGTTGCGCCGGAAATTTGTCAAGGTCGGCGATTGGAAGACGGCCCAGGATCTCTTGGAGCCGTTTTTCTGGAACGACAAGCTTAGTGAGTTGTGCAGGCCTAGGTTCGACGGAGAGGCGTCGGCGTCTTGATATATTACCTACAGCTACGTCCATTTTCTTACTTGGGTAGTAATCAAACTGTGATATTTTGGTACATACCTAAGCATCATAGGTAGTCGAGGAAATTCTATGAGCAGAAACCCACTGCAAGCACATCGGACTCCTTGTGCCCTTGTAAAGGTCTTGCCATCTAGTAGCACATGCATGGCGTTGGGAGCTTCAACCCCTTAGAATTGTGGTCGTGGCGAACGAGAGGTGATTCAGAACTCATATACCACATATCTTTGGTTACTACTACAATAAAAAGTTCATCCCCTTATCAACTGCTCCATAAAAGCCCGAGGTCTGAACAAGGAAACGCCTGATCCATCTGCCTTCCAAAATATGCCATCATCACTTCCCATATCGATTTCCAACCCAGAATTCAGCAGCGAGCGAGACGACTGTCCATTCCCGACCTCCATGGCAGTCGCAATTCAGACCAGATCATGTCAGGTCGATTTCCGACTTGACAGAACTGACGTGAAAGCCCACGATCCACGAGTACGGCAGGACCTTGAGGACCAGGTTGCGGAAGTAGTAGGCCAGGGAGCTCTTCGGGATGAACATGTCGGCCATGCGCTTTGAGCGGGCCTGGAGGCGCTCGATGGCCGGACGGAGCTTGGCCTCGTGGTTGCGCAGCGCCGCGAGCACGTCGTCGGGGGTCTTTTCGAGTTCCTTCCCCAGGATCTCGGCCGACACGAGGGCCATGCCCGCGCCCTGCCCGGACAGGAGCGTCAGGCAGTGCGCGGCGTCGCCGAGCAGGAGGACCCGCCCCTCCGACCACCGCGGCAGCGTGACCAGCGTGAGGCTGTCGAGCGTGACCAGCGCGTCGGCCTGCTCGGCCTGCTCGACCGCGTCGCGCACCTGCGGCACGCTCTGCGCCGTGACTTGGCGGAGGATGTCGAATTTGGCCTCCTTGGACGTCCCTGTCGTCGACAGATCCCGCTCCTCGCGCCAGATGTTCATGCACGTCAGGCCCTTGTCGCGCAGCGAGAACAGCATGTCCAGCTGGCCGGGACGGTTGAACGAGTAACAGTCGTGGTCCTGCTGGGATTCGGTCTGTCGGTTGCTGAAGTTGTACGCCGCGTAGTAGTAGCCCAGGTGCTCGAGGAAGTCGCCCTCGCGGCCTTTCCAGAGGGTGCGCCGGATCTGGGACCGGAACCCGTCGGCCCCGATCAGCAGGTCGGCCTCGATCGTGTCGCCGCCCGCGAGGACCACGCGCACCTTGTCACCCTGGTCGGCGAACTCGCGCACCGTCTCGCGGAACCGGATCGACGCGCTGGAAGGGAGGTGTTTCGCCAGGAGGCGCGCCAACTCGTCGCGTCGCACGGGTAGCGCTTCCAGCCCCCCGCCGTGCACGTCGACGTATCTGATCCGGCACAGTTCCCTGCCGTAGCCGTCGCTGATGATGTTGTACTCGAAGTGCTGCGACACGGACTGCAGCTCGGCCAGGAGGTCCATGTGTTGGACCGTCTCGTGCCCGAGCCCCGAGATGGTCATCGAGTACCCGCTGGCGCGGAGGGCGTCGTCTCGCTCAACCACGACGGACGTCCAGCCCGCCTTGTCGAGCCACCATGCGGCGGACAGGCCGGCGATGCCAGCGCCCACGATCACCGCGACTGGTTTGGTCATGGTGCGGCGGGCTTGTCGTAAAAGTATCCACGATCAGAGAGAGCGAGTCTTGCCTCTAGAGAGTCAATCGATCAGAGTGCTCGGCAGGAAATGTCGACACATAACATACATATGGACCAGGTATAGTATATAGGTCAGATCAGATCAGATTAGATACTGCAACAACATAACATAACATGGCTGCAATAGCTCCATGAGCTGCCTCCAGATGCGAATACGAGCTCTGGCAGCGCAGTGGCAGTGGAGTGATTGACATCCCGATATCGGATTCCAAGACCGTCGACACATGTGCGTCCAAGGCTTGTCTTGTCTTGTCTTGTCGCCTCGTCTCGCTACCCTACCTACCTACCGAGGACTTGTGCTGGTACTGGTACCAAGTGGCTTGGAGTGGTGAAATATGTACCCGCCACGCGTTTCATGGGCAGATTCGCGAGCTTCGGTTGGGTGGAAAATTGGGGTTGGGGGGGGGGGTCAAGCTTCTCTTGGAACGAGCGACGCGCAGCTCCCAGGCGAACGCCACAGAGATAATGAATGGCTGGCCTGAAGCCTAAGAATGAGGACCTCGACAAGGCAGACAGGGATTGCGGTCTCGGGTTGACCCCATTCTCGCTTGGTAAAATGTCCGTAAAGGAGGAGGGAGGAGGAACTGTATGTGTCCTGTGTGCTGTGGACAATGGACCGAGTGCTGGGTATTATCCAGGGACATCAAGCAGTCTCGCAAGTACTCGGTATTGAGAACCAATCACTGCTGTATGTCAAATCAACGGGTGTTATTCAGGTCGAGACAACGCCACTGCCCTCACGTGGATGACGAGTATATCAGTCCTTCTGTGAGGTCGCTGGATACAGGCCGTATCTCGTGCATACTGTACTAGGTACATAGTACCTACCTACCTACAGACCTATCCAGACACCTAGATAGCGTGCACCAGATAATATGAAACCCGTCTCTGTCACGCCGTGTGGAGTCTTGTCACTCTACGACACAATCTAATTTCTGCCATCAATCAATGAATAATGCTGCTTAGAACATCACACAGTGCATTCAAAAGACGGGTGAGGATATGGATGCCGAGTTGGGACGTCAGCATAAACCCAGTATTTCGGCGCTCTAGGTTGTCGTGGCGTGGTTGATTTCCCAACGAAAGAACGGCTTGCCGATGTAGAAGATGACGAGGTTGCTTTGACGAACAAGGCCAAACGTCGAGAAAAAAACTGCGAAAGCTTGGAACGGGAATCTTGGAAGCCACAGGAATTGACATCTGGGTTGCGAGAAACGATCTTTTCCACGCGCGCCGTGGGAAATTTGGAATGGACTCCTGGTGGGCCACTATGAAGCCGGCTTGGACGAGCGCTCTGTCGAAGAAGTCTGCTGAACAATGGCTTATCTTTATTGCAGAGGGGATGCCAGAAGAAGTGAAGAAGATCCTTGGAGGCTTACAACTTCCCATAAATGACGAACTCGAACGTCTACATCCGGTCAGTTCGACGAATGCCGGGGTGTACGCTAGGCTGGTCACCTCTCGATACTCGGTCCCAGCAGCCAGTGACCGATATTTGTACGTGGGTTCAGCCAGTAAGTACGGCAGTGGACTGCAGGGCAGAGTCAGTCAGCACATCAGAAAGGGCCAGGAAAGACTGGTTCGGGACCTGAGAAGCAGGGACCTCCTAGCGCCCGGCCGTTTCGTCACCTTGATGACCATGAAGATGGACAGCGCTGAAGAAGAACACGTCTTCGAAGTGCGCAGGACGGTGACGTTGGCAGAGGCAATCTTGACGATATGGTTAGGCGCCACTCCAGTCCCCTGGTCACCATCTCCCAGGGGCTGTGTCCATGGGATTGGCAGACTCTCAAGTACAGAGCATGGTCATCTCACAATCCCTTGGAAGTAGACATCATGCTGCCAAACAATGAGATGATCGGGGTTTCATCCGTTACATAATGAGGCGGGTCTGTATGTTCTCGACAAAGCTTCTGCGTTCTGTAATAGCCCAGACGGAGGGGGGAGGAACGAAGCTGACCTGCGAGAATACCCTGACTACCCTGCAATGCTCCCCGCGGGAGTCCCTAATGGAAAATGGCATAAGCGAAGAAACTGTTTCTTGGGGGACCGAGGGATATCAACGCTTTCCTTTTTGGGTATCGATGTGCTGTCGGATCTAGATTCTAGGTTGGACCTGAATGACCGACGCAGAGACGGTAGCAGGATTAGTCCCAGTAGGATCGCTCTGGACCTCGTATAGTGAAACTAGCTCATGAAGGGAGAACCAAAGATACCTTGACCTACCACGAGAAGACCACAATAAAAGCAGCGTCTCTGGAGGAACAGATTAGAATTGGTGTTCGATCCTCCGCTTCGTTGGTACATGGAGGAAGCCTCTCCATTGCTGCTTTCGAGACACCTGCATTCTGGGCCGGACCTGTACGGCGTCCGGAAATCCTTCTGTCCTTTCGTTCGCAGTTTTGGTCGACATACTTGTCTGCTGTAACAAAGCAGATGACGGGCCTCTTATCTATTGTCACCCTCGAGACACCCTGCCGTCACCTAGCGAATCCGCCCGCGCCCATGGCTCTTTGCGTCCATATTCGCGGCTCCTCTCTGTGACGACCAAACCTTCCCACGCCGATATACCCGTCACAGGAACCAACCTCGAAGCAAGCGTTCAATCTTGGCTTTGAAGCTCACATCATTCAGCTCTTTGAGGGCCTGGATCACATCTCCCATGGACTTGAATCTATCATGCCGACAGTCGTCAATCAGCCGGCTCGTTGGAAGACCTGATAGGTCAGGAACTTGGCCCTGGAAGCTGCCACCAATCGATGACAATTGTGGCATTTTTGTCCAACCTAGGCCGTGCTGCATGAATGAAGGATGAGGTTGAGAAGAGAAGAGGGGGGAGAGAAGGACATGCCGCTGCTTTTGGAGGTTTCTTTCCAGCATGCCAAGAACGGACTCCCATCATACCCCTGGTATTATCCCTAGTAGGAATACCTAAGCAGCCTGGCAGCCCGGCAGCAAAGGTATGTTACCTTTGCCTCAGTGAGTTCTGTCGTCGCAGCAAGCAGGCATTGCGCCTTCTACATTCGCCGAACACTTGACCGATCTCGACAAGCTGAATGTAACCCCATATTCATGATTCAAAGAGATGTCCAGCAATACAAGTCCTGAACGAGCAACTCCTGAGACACCGAAGCTGCGACCACTCTCGATAAATCAGCCCGACCCTGAAACACTGCGCGACATCATCGCCAATGACCACTTTGGAGGCGAAATGCCACCATCCATAGTCGAAGCGTGGGTGATGGCACTACAGCCTGGCAGCCGTGTGCCGTTGCCTCCCAACGTGAAAGGATTCTATGGTGGAGGCCTCAGGGCTTCCATGCCTATTGAAATCGCCCGCGGCTCGTACAAATTCATCACACACGAGACTGCAGACAAGGAGAAGATCGAGAAGTGCTCTAGGCGCATGTTGACGGCTTTATCGATTGTTGATATCGACGAAGTGTCTCGGAATGAGCCGACTACCGGTGTGCTCACATTGTGGCATAAGGTTCTCGCACTTGTGAGACTCCCCGACGCAGCTGATGAGCTGTTGCAAACATTCACACAGTACAAAGAGCTTCGGCCCAAATCTTCGCTGCCGGACAGCAAATTACCACTGCCAGACCGCCTAAAGGGTCGTCTTCTGAACATTGCTGAAGAACTTGGAAATACGGCTGCCGCGCAGCTCCTCTCGACACAATAGTAGCAATGCAAACACCCGTCAAGGCGTCCCCTTGATGTTCTAATCTAGACCTGCGAAAGAGGTAGATGGAAGGCATCGAAATGAGTCCCCAAGGCACCAACCATTGGATGGCCTAATGGGACCATGGAAGTCGGGGTCAAAACAATTTTGTCACAGCAGGCTGCATGCTGACCATCGATAAGTATAAAGCGACATTAAAAGCGGCGCCACGCTAAGCCTACGGCCATATCCGAGACGTGGCGGCTGCTTAAACCACAACCAGATTTCCCAGCAACCTTTACCAAAAGTTAGAAATGCAATTCAAGTACCGAGTATGGCTTCACAACTTGCTTGGCACGATATCCGGCACGTAAGCCATGCTAGAGATTGGGATCCCCACGCCTGTATTGAGCATTTTGCTCAACTCTATCCCAGAATGATTTCTCCAATGAGCGTCAGCTTTGCCCGCACTTTAGGGAGTGATGAGACCAGGGCGCAGTATTGCCCAACTCACCCAACTCAGCCTCACCCCACAAGCGCTTCTTCTACCTGTAAAAGGTTGAGTCAAGTCTAGTTTCCACTATGGTCATGTCCATCTTTCTGCACATACCGTTGTCTATGGGAACTCACCGTCGACTGTGTTCGATGGGTGCAGACCATTGGGGCAAGTTCACTTCTTGAAGCACTGACAGATTGCTTCACTGACGACAGCAATCACAAAGTGACCTAGCCACGAAGGCGTACGAGGCCTGTCAACCACCAATCTGCCCATCTTACCGATGTGTTGCATCTAGCCTCCGCCCCAAATCGCTCTCATCCCTCTACAATGGCGACCCGAAAACCTTTGTCGCATGACGATTATACTGTTGGGTGGATATGTGCTTTACCTGTCGAGGCCGCGGCAGGCAAGGCTATGCTCGACGATGAGCACCAACCACTGCGTCAGGAGAAACATGACCACAACAAATACACACTGGGACGCGTTGGGTGTCACAATGTCGTCGTAACCTGTCTTCCTGCCGGAGTTCCTGGAACGAATGCGGCTGCCATCGTGGCCACGCAGATGCTCCGAACCTTTACCCAGATCAGATTCTGTTTGATGGTGGGAATCGGAGGTGGTGTTCCCAGTCATGAACACGACATTAGACTTGGCGATGTAGCTGTTGGTCTCAGCGTTGTTCAATATGACTTCGGAAAAACTGTACAAGGTGGAAAATTTCACCACACAGGGCCGTCGAATAGACCGCCCAATTTTCTTCTCGCTGTCGTATCGGAGCTGAGAGCGAAGCACATGTTGGAGGGAACTGATTTATCGGGCCACTTATCCAGGGCCTTTAAAAAGTACACCAAGATGGCGGCGACTTTTACCTTTCCTGGGCAGGAGCACGATTTTCTCTACGAGTCCGATTTTGATCACCCAGAAGGCCTCGCCGACTGCTCGCAATGCGATAAACAGCGGCTGGTATCTCGCTCAACTCGCCCTGTGCAGGAGCCGATCATCCACTATGGTCCCATTGCTTCAGGTAATCAGGTGATGCGGCACGGCGCAACCAGAGAGAAGCTGAGGAAGCAGGAAGGGGTTGTATGTTTCGAAATGGAAGCTGCCGGACTCGTCGATGTTTTCCCATGCCTTGTGGTCAGAGGCATTTGCGACTATTCTGACTCACACAAGAACAAAAAATGGCAACCGTATGCGGCGGTCACAGCGGCTTGCTTTGCTAAAGAGTTTCTGTCAGAAATTGAGGCAGTTCATGTTCAAGAAGTGCGCACAGCGGCTGATACCACGGAAACCTTCCACGCAATTAGCAGGACTCAGTCGCAAAACACTTCTTTTCAGACTTCGTCGCCAGTGTCGCTCGCGGAGAGTCGGCAAATGCACACTGGGGCCAATCAACTTGATGATAGCTCAAATTCTGTTCTCGCCGGCTTCTCCAGACTCGACAATCAACAGATTAGCAACCACGCGCACGGAATGGCAGGAGACATATCACACTTAAAACCCGGAATTGATTTGGAACTGAGCGATGAGTCCACCTTGAAGTCAGATCTCATATCGGTCCTTGCGATCCAAGCGTTCCAGGACGCTCTCGGACAATTCAAAGCTTGTCTTTCGGATACCCAACTTTCAGCCTTCAGGTCTGTCACCTTTCGATCAGTCCGCAGTACTCTCATGCGTCTTCAGAGGGTACAGGCGGAAAGATTCGGCGCCATGAATTTTGCGCGGCTAAGGAAATTCTTGGAGAGCATACGACTCATCGAGAAGGAGATGCAGTTTGCTCAAAAGGCGGAATTCCTTTCGTACGTTTTGGGCACGATGGTTGCTGCTCTGCAAGTAAGTCAGCCAACTCAAATCGATACTAGAATGCCATCATAGACAATTCACCATTTTACTAGTTCTTTGTCTGCTATCTCTCTACTGTACTTGTGGCTGATGTTGGAGCACAGGACACAGCCGACATCCTCGACCCATGCGATACATTGGTCAAGGTTTATGAGACTATCGGGGCCTCTATCACTTTTGGACATCTGGATTCCGCATATACATTGAACGCCCCTCAAAAGCATCTGGTTCTAGCAAGAGTGGCAGCAGACGTTCTGCGGCTGAACATGCTTATTCTACAAGTATTGGGTATTCCAAAACCGTTTCTGGGCGCGGCGTTCAAAAGCACCTGGAATGCACTGTTGCCGCAAAGGGAATCCATCTTTCAAAATTTGGAAGGGATGAAAGAATTGGTTGAGAAACGGGCAGCCGCGTCAGCTTTTGTCGAACATGAGCAGAACCGAGGTCCATCCCTTACAGTTTCGGATCGTGATACAGTGCGCTTAAGAGAGCAGTGGTCCGAACTTCAACAATGGCTGGCCGGTGTGAACACGTTGCAGATCCATCAAGACATCTGCAGGGTCAGACAAGGAACAGCAGATTCCGGTGCTTGGCTATTGAAGCAACCAAAATACGTCGCCTGGAAGTCGGACGATGTCCCGCGATGGCCAATTCTTTGGCTCAATGGAATTCTTGGTGCAGGGAAAACAATCTTGGTTTCCAAAATCATCGACGATTGCCGGACCAACAGCAATGTTGTTACCGCATTTTTCTACTGTCACCACGACGAGCCGCAGCGGAGAAGCTTCATGTCGATACTGAGGACACTGATTGCACAGCTTCTTACTGTTCGTCATATTCTGTTACCCTGGTGTTATGAGCAATATAGCGGAAGCAATCAACTTTATTTGATGGACGGAAAGATGTGTGAGCATATGTTGACTGCACTACTACTGAGTCATGACAGGACTGTTGTACTGTTGGATGGGCTTGATGAATGTGAAGCCATTGATCGCAAACAGTTACTCGATTTCTTCACCCGAGCGGTCAGTATTTGTGAGTCGCACGATCCTGGCAAGCTTCGAGTTATGTTTGCGAGCAGAGATGAACCGGGTATCCGTCGAGCCCTACATGGGTCAGTTGAAATTACCATAACGCCTGCAAATAATGAGGGAGACATGAAAAGATTCATCAAAGTTTGGTGCCAGAAGATATGCGACAAGTTCGAAGACCTCGAGGCTGCCGAAGTTTCCTACATTGAAGAGTCCACGCTGAGTCGTGCAGATGGTAGGCTTTGCAGAGTCAAAATGGTGCTTTGTATTCTAACCAAGTGTCAGGAATGTTCTTGTTTGCGAACTTGGTTATGACAAACCTCGAGGCCCAAGTGTCACTCCAAGCCCTTCAGGAGCAGATCCATCCAGAGAATTTTCCGAGCGAGCTCGACGCAGCGTACGTATGAGTTCTATTCTCAGTGAAAAGGATACTTTGGAGGCGTGAGCATCAGGGAACTAATACCCTTTAGATATGAACGCATCCTCCGACGTGTCAGCAAGGACTCTGACAGGGAAAAGGTGTCTCTTGCAAAGAAAGTATTGGGGTGGATGATGTGTGCAAAGCGACCATTAAAATGGCACGAAATTCAAGGGGCATTGTCGACGGACACAACCAGCCGGACGGTTGATTTTGCTCAGCGTCGATCGCATGTGCACATTCGAGAAATCTGTGGATCTTTGATCAGCGAATTGTCCGGCGACAGACTTGAGCTTGTTCATGTCAGCGCCAAAAAGTAAGAGGAAGTAACTGTTCTTGCACTGGCATGGGAAAGCTGATCGATCCTGTAGCTATCTGAAAAAATCCTCTTTTGTGACAGCACTATTTGCCGAATGCACTTTAGCATCACTCTGTCTCAACTATCTCTCATTCGACTGTTTCGAAAAGCAACTCCCCGAAGCACTGGTCCAAGACTTCATGTTGCGTGGGTCCTTCGCTCTTCAAGACTATGCAACGTCTCATTGGTCCGATCACGCTGCGACAGTCATCAGGGCGGGCCTTTCTGACTTAAGATGTGAAGGAAGCGCTAGTGAGGATTTCTGTTCAGCTGTAATAGATTTTGTTGAGCATTATCACCTTGGGGCGCATGAAAGTACCGAGAGTGCGGAGATACCAAGCGACTGCCTCAAGTTTCAAGAACTTAGCTGCTTTGTTGAGGTATGTCATTTGTACCGGCACATTCAACGGCAGAAGGCAAAGGGTCGCCAAGGCTTCGACGAAATCACTCCACCACCGCTGGACCAAACGATTGCGCGCAATCGCTCTTGTCTCGAGCAATCTGCAAAGTCAACCACGCTTGACCCGGCGACACAAAAGGAGCTCGAACAATGCTATGGGCGGCAGTGGTACAAGTGCACCAAAGCGGCTTGCTACTATTTTCATGAAGGCTTCCAGGATGAGAAGTCTAGAGAATATCATGCTGTCCGGCATGATCATCCGTTTCGTTGTCAGCACGAAGAATGCGAGAGTGGCTACAAGTTTGGCTTCACAAGTTTGAAGCAGCTCGAAAAGCACGTCAGTCTCTATCACCCGGAATCCGTCAAGATCAAGGCGACCTTCGCGAGATTGAGCAAGGCCCGAGAACGCGTCAGTAACTCTCCCATGCGACATTCCAGCATCGCGAAGGAGCCGGGCCGGTTTTCCTGCCATATCTGTTCGAAGACCTACACGAGACAGGAGAAATTAAACAATCATCTTCGAACGCATTATGTGGGGCAATCCTTGTCCCACTGCTCAGTAGATGGCTGTGGAAAGTCATTTGCCAGAGACGATGAGAGGAAACGCCACGAGAAGGAGGTTCATTCTGGCGAGAAAAAATTCCTCTGCGCCGGGAATACCAAATATGGCAAACCTGGCTCCAACAGTTTCGGTTGTGGCAGAGGGTTTACAAGGCTAGCGGGCTTGGAAAGCCACTGGCGCAGCAGGGTTGGTAAAGACTGCCTCAAGCCGCTGCTTGACGAGGAAGAGTTCGAGAGACAATTGGCAGACCAAGTTGCTAAGAGAAAAGCAGAGGGTTTTGAACTCCCGCTTCCTCGAGCGCTCTATGATAAATACCCTGAGCTACGCAAATCAGCGACCTTGCAAGATCCAAGTCTTCTCGAACCGGCGCCCAAGAGACGGCAGCCGTTCAAACCAAGCGCGGCAACGACAGCATTATCATCCGAGGCAGGCACACAACCATCATCTGACTCTTCCGGTGCCAACGACAGTGAGATACCTAAGAACATTGACATTTGAGCCAATGCGATCATGAGAGGTAAAGAATACTACCGCAGATATGCAATGAAACAGTATAACGCCTGGACTGTCCATCTCCTTTGGACACTGTCGCTTTGTTGCACATTCAGTTACAGGTGTTTGCTATGAATTAATTTAGAGACATCGCATTTGAGAGGTGCCTTACGGGTCCGTTACACAATGTACATATGTAGGCTACGTACGCTGAGTACGCTAAGTGGAGGTCTTGCATGTAAATAATCCCGCAGGGTGCACCAGGCGACCAGTTCTTCCACACCCTCTTTCGACGCTAAGATTTTCTTTCTGGCGGTGCAAGTGGAGCTCGCTAAAGGTTTGAGCCTATCAAAAGTGAAAATACGGGGTGAGATAACACCGCCGGAGCCATTCTATTTTAGGCCTAATGTCCTGGACTCACCCAGAAGGACTCAGGACGAATTGTTCGGCTAACCTTCCTAATTAGGGTTAGGGCAGCACACTTCCCTCTAATCGAGGCTTCACAAGGACTCTTGGCGAGGAGCTCCAAATCCCATCTCTGCGATGCTCAGCTTACTTCCTTGCTGGTTCAGGATATCCTGCAAAGTGTAAGTCAACAATCACAATTTTGGGGCGGCGGACATACCTCTTCGATGGTGCCACGAACCATGTATCGGATGACCAAAACGGATTGTCTTTGCGACATTCTTTGCGCTCTGGCGATGGCTTGTACTTCAACACTAGGATTCCAGTTCGGTTCCAACAGAAACACGCGGTTGGCGCATGTCAAATTCACACTGGATTTGAGTCAGCTGAGGTTCCCTTCGAACACAGCCCATGCAAAGCGTACCCGTATGCGCCTGTACCAGTTGTCATGAGCAATATCCGAGAACTCTCATCGACCTTGAAGGTGTCGAATATTTGTTCCCGCTTGGCCGACTCGGTGTTTCCATCCACACGCATGAAAGCGATATTTCGATGCTGCAAGTGCATTTGTACGAGGTCGAGAGACCTGGTCCAAGAGGAAAAGACAATGCTGGAGGTCTGTTAGCTGATGGGCTTGGGGTGTTATGCGCAGACTTACCTTTTTGTGTCGAGCAGATTTTCGTTCAGGTCCCTCATCAACATCTCTATCTTGGACGAATAGCCCTGACATCCAACGTCGGTCTCGAAAGATTTTTGCAGTCCCAACTCGGAGTCCTTTGGTCGGGATTTCGAGGTTGAATTGGTGGCGGAGGCTTCTGTTGCTTCTTGCGCATCCTGGGACAGTTCAGCAATGCATTCGTCACAAGTAATCCTTGCCCGTGGTCCAGAAGCCTCCCTTGCGTTACAGTTCGTTGCTAAGGCGGCGATCCATTCGTGGCAGGAAGAACATCGCACCACTTGTTCCTTGCCCATAGCGACGATGACGTCCTCTCTTTGCGCCCGGATGTCGACTTGACTGTTGTTCCACGATTTTTGAAAGGTGCCATGGTTACACAAGCGTCGAAGCCGATGCTGGATCTGAAACTTCCCCAACGGTGTTCCCGAATTCTTTTTTCGTGATCCATGGGTAAGCTCCCACAACATAGAATCCCGAGTCGTTTCGTATTGCTCCTTCTCGGCTTGGGAAAGTTCGACAGTGTGGTACCGCTGTATCATTGGAGGAAGTTTTAGTCGTCCGATCTTGCGGCGCATGCATACAGAATTAAGTAAGAGTGAGAGTTTCGCCGTGGCTCTGGGCTTATCATAGGTGAACGGCGAAACAACATATTTTCGAAACATGGAAATCCTGTCGAATGGCTCCGCGCGAATGAACGCCAGGAGGGCTCCCAAATCGTCTAGCTTATTTTGCACTGGAGTACCGGTCAAGCACCATCGATGACAAGCTTCGAGCTCTGCAACCGCTACATACAAGGTCGTCGACTGCCGGCGGATGCAATGCGCTTCATCTAGAACCAGTCTGAACCAGTTGATTGACATCAGGGGACTTTTCTTGATCTTCCGTTCGGCTGCCAGTGTATGGTAGGTGGTGAACACAATATCTGCCTCGCTTATCCGCTCTACCTGACGGCAGCGGGTCCTCCCATGGTATATCAAAACTTTCAGGGAGTTATCCGTGAAGTTCTTAAGCTCGTCGCGCCAGACAGTCATTATCTCGAGAGAGGGAGCGATGATCAAGGTCGCCCTCGACCGGATAGGTGACTGGACGGGGTTTTCATCCTCTTCGTTTCGCGACTGTGACCACAGATGCGCATCTGCAAGTCTCTGGCTGATAAGACTCAAAGCTGATAATGTCTTTCCAAGCCCGGGTTCATCTGCCAGGATTCCACCGCCTGTCTCAGGGCGGGGCTCTGTGGCCCAGCATCCAGTAATCAAATGTCGAAATCCGGAACTCGTCTCATTCTCAGTCCATTTCCAGAGCCTTGATTCTTCAGGAATAGGTCCAACTTCCCTCTCGATCATGAACGAGACTGCTTGTTTCTGGGTTGGTAACAGCGGTACGGTGATATGCATATATGCATTCTCTTCACGGAAATGCCGGTCATTGGTCTCCGCCATACACAGGTCGAGCATAGTTTTTTGGAGGTCCTCAGGCCTGCGGTCGTCCTGCTCCAAGTCATCAACCTCCATGTAATCCTCATCCAGATCCAAGTCGTCGAAATCGAGCATATGGGGGTTCATGTATTCGACACCAGGATCTTTTTCAGGGTGTCTCAAGTTCTGAAGGTATAGACCCTCTTCTGAGAGCACCTGACCCACTGCAGAACGGGAATTTGCCGAGCCATATACATAAATATCGATATCCATCTCGCCACTCTTGGACCTATTAGCACGCTCGATGGTCTTTAGCCAGTTCTCGACCAATGCGTATGCCACAAGCTGGGTTGTTTGGAATGTGGTTTTGATTCGCGTCAGGGGAGCGCAAACATCGCGATCCAGCTGAGCGCACAACGTGCCATCTTCCAGTCTCAGAAAGCCGGTGTCAAACGCGGTGTCAAATTGCAGGTTTGTCAACCCACTGCTTGGACGTAACCGTACGAGCTTCTTTCGCAAAGTATCCATGTCTCCATAGAGCCTCATTCGCCGGTTGGCGATCATGCCAAAGCACTGAATATCGCTATCGTTATGGCTTTCTGTCTCGTCGAGTGACGACAGCCAGTTTTCATCATCTTGCTTTCCAGCTTCCGTACATTGGGTTATCGTGGCGTTGATCCATGTCTCAATTCGTCGACCGACTTCTTCCAATTGTGGATTGGCTCGTGACGATCCTGGTTGGAAACTGTCATCGATGAGCTTGTCATCTATCTGCACCTCATCGGCCTCGTCGGAAGGCGTTTGATCGACTCCCAGGATAGATGTGAGCAGTTTGGTCCAAGGTCGTGCCGAGGCGTCCACTTTCTCCAAAGTGTCACCAAAGTTGACGTCGCGGGCGGTCCTCTTTTCCGATGAACCATGTTCTTCTCTATCGAGTTCCTCCACAGCAATGCTACTTTTTTCCATGTTCGAGTGGCGAGCCCTCGATTCGTTCAATCCTTTAGGAATCTTTCGTGATTCCGGAGGGTAGTGCGTCCTGGATATATCGCGAGAAATGTGGCGGCGATCAAAGCTAGAGTACAATGGCTTGTCCGGAAGAGCCCTGGTAGATGACTTTGGGAGCCTGACCAAAACCACGTTCAGCTAACCATGGCGCAGCGTCACTATGCGAAAAGACTAAAGTGGCGGACAAACTCAGCCTTGCTGATGCCTCTCTGCTGGTATGGACGATGGGCATATCTTCAAGGCGAAAGTCACTTCACACAAGGCTTGAAAGGTAAGAATTCGAGAAAAAGAGTCCTTGTCGGGAGAGGAAATGCTGAGCGGGCGCATCGAACCTTTTGCGAAGTTCAGCCTCACCAGCATTAAAGTCCAGGCTCCCTTGCCTCAAAGATGCAACACTTTCTCCCAGGTTGACGGCTAAGATAGCGTCTCAAGAGCAGATTCGTATCCCTCTTTCCAAAGGGTCGTCCATTCTACTGTATGCCAGATATATATTTGACGGCTGCGACTGTTGAAGAAAGAGACAACACCCAGGCAGTCCGGTTATTATCTACATGACCTCCCGAGGATTGGGTAACAGGCGAGCACCTCAGGAAAGTGGGTCCTGGTGCCTAGGTTCTTGTACAGTACGAGGTACGAGGTACCCTGGGAGTCTAGACCCCGTGACCCCGTGACCCCGTGACCCCTCATCTGTCTGTAAATCCATCACCTCCTCAGAAGGCACGGAAGGGTACCTCGTACATAGTGCCTATTACCTCATGTGACCAAGGTGCGCCTGGCACTGCCTCATTTCGTCCTTTCTTTCATTGACCCAATCAACCAATTCATGACCCTACAGTTCGACTCACGAAAACAATGCAAAACCAACTTGAATGTTAGCAACTGGAAAGAGATCTCCTGGTCAGGTATAAAAGAAGTTCCTCTGTCAAGAATGCCACTTTGTATCAGAACAGTTTTATTGCAGCAGGACGAGATCACAGAGCGGTTACATTGAGATCTCTCTGTATTCGACAATCTGAGCGCATGGTTGATGGTCCCTACGACTTTGTTGTCGGCATAACCACGTCAGCAGCCTCGCAAGTCGCAAGGGAGACGTAGAGAAGGTTGTTGTGAGCACAGTCGGCCTGCAAACAAAAGGTACAGAGCTATCAAGTGCTCCGAGTATCAGTCCGGTCATGTCAATACCTGGGCGTTCAAATGGACTCCAGACTTCGATGGGACCACCACCGAGAGAAGGCTGAAGCCAAAGCTACACAGCGGCTGTCAGCGCTTTCGGCGACTTTACTTGCCAAGGCGGAAAGTCAGACACTTTCCCTTTCCAGTCACCTCAGCCTCAAACTCCCAATGTGGAAACTGTTTGGCCATGACTTATCGTAACGTCTACCTATGGCTACCCAACACATGGATCCAATGGGCCATTCCAGAGTCGACAAGCGTGTCTAGCTGACCACTGACCCTGAATCGCGAGGCTGGCTTGCAAGGCAATAGCTCCTCATACCAGATGTTATCAAGGAAACCGTGCAGCCCCCCCTAACATGGGTCTCAGCCAGCCCTCTCCTTCTACAGTAGGTGTTGAGATCCATCACCTTCGGCTTCAGTGCTGTCAAGGTCAAGCGCCTTAACATGAGCTCATCTATAAAGACGAGCCACAAGCAAGTGGGTGACAGCATGGTTGAACAGTTCTGCCGTCAACATTGCTCTCCTTACATTGACATCGACAATGGCCGGTTTTATCAAGGAGACGCCCGCAGGGCAGTTCCTTCGACTGCTTGGCTTCCAGTCAGGTCTCTTGTACTCTGAAGAGAAACCTGGCTTTGAGCCTACTAGCCTCCCTGTCGTCTGCGAGCCGGCACCCTCTCCCACTGATTGTGACCTGGAGAAAACCCTGTCCAAGCTCTCCACCACCGCCCGCGCAGCTGAGAAGGACGTCACGCTGTCTCCCTCGAACAAAGAGGCAATCATTGTATCCTGGGCCGAGAATGATCTCGAGAACCCTCGCGACTGGTCGCAGGGTAAGAAGACGTGGACTCTCGTGGTGGTCAACCTGTACACCTTCTGCGTCTACTGCACAGCATCCATCATCACGCCCACCGCGGGAGCCATCCAGCAGCGATATGGTGTATCGATTGTGGTAGCAAGTCTAGGACTGTCCGTGTACGTTGTTGGTTGTAAGTCTGCACCTGTTTTCCGTCAATACTATACCTGGCTGATCCTCACTGTCTACAGACGGCCTGGGACCCATGTTTTTCTCTCCCATCAGCGAGATCCCTAGCATCGGACGGAACCCGCCGTATCTTTATTCCTTCGTCGCATTCTTCGTCGTATCCATTGCACTTGCTTTTGTCGACAACTTCCCTGCAATTATCGTCCTTCGATGGCTACAGGGTCTCTTTGGCAGCCCGGCTTTGGCCAGTGGCGCGGCGTCCATCGAAGACATATACGACATTTACAGCGCGCCGTATGGCTATGTGTGGTGGATTGCAGCCATGTATTGTGGTCCTGCCGTTGGGCCGTTGATGGCGGGATACGCTGTTCCTCACGATTGGAGATGGCCGGTGAGTTGTCTTGACTCTTACAACACCTTGTGACCCCTTGACACCTGTCGAAACAGCACTAAAGAAGACATTCACAGCTCTACGAAGTCATCATCATGTCGGGAATTATTCTCTTCTTACTACCCTTCCTGCCAGAGACCTACCCTGGCACCATCCTTCTCAACCGAGCAAGACGACTCCGCCAAGTGACAGGCGACGATCGATACCGTGCCGAGAGTGAACTGCACCCCATCCCGCTCCGGGCACTCCTCTGGGAAGCCCTCGTCCGACCTCTAGAAATCACCATCAAAGACCCCGCGGTGCTCTACGCGGCGCTCTACGGCGGCCTCGTCTATGCCACGTACTACTCCTTCTTCGAAGCCTTCCCGCTCGTCTACCTAGGCACGTACGACATGTCTCTCGGCCAGCTCGGGCTGATATTCCTCGGCTTGATGACGGGCTGCATCGTCGGTCTGGCCTGCTACTACATCTACCTACGCCGGTGGTTCATCCCGCGGGCTCGAAAATACCACTCCGAAAAGGGCAAGGCCGTCGAACAGGAAGAATGGCTCCGGCCAGGCCTGGCGGGCGTGTGGGGCCCCCCGATCGGTCTGCTGTTGTTTGCCTGGACGGCGCGCGCGGACGTGCACTGGATCGCGCCCACGATCGGCATCAACGTCTGGGCCGCCGGCAGCTTCTGCATGTTTCAGAGCATCATCTGCTACATCGCGCTGGCGTACCCGAAGTACGTGGCCTCGCTGTTCGCCGCCAACGATTTTGCCCGCTCCATGCTGGCCGCGGGCTTCGTGCAGTTTTCCCGCTCAATGTACCTCGATCTCGGCATCGGGAAGGGTGTCACCGTCATTGCGGGCCTGTCAGGCGTCGGCGTCGCGGGTATGTATGGTCTGTATTACTTTGGGGGGTTTCTTAGGGCGAAGAGTAAGTTTACGGGGTGAATTGATGTCTAGAGGGGTTTTCTCAGAGGATGCCACCAGAGGGTTTGGGGGCATTTTTGAGGAGATGGGTGGGGTGTGGTCTGGAGATGGTGGGTGGATGGGTGTGTGGCGGATTGACGGATCGTGGGACGGGACCGAAGTATGGGATTAATGAAAGGATATATCGGTGGATGGATTGATCAATGGACGCATGGAAGGATGGTTTGGATGAGTGGGTGGAGTTTGATGTGCCACTACAGCTACAAGGATGGGTTCGAAAGTATTCGCAAGGTGTCAGCACGAGGCATACTATATAGTGATCAACTTGCCTGCTTTTCCTGTTTCTTTCTGGCCCCTTACTCCGTCCTTTTTAGGGAGGAGGGTAAAATGTACTTTTCGTCTCTACGTACCCAAGGGAAACCGGCAAACTCGACAAATCTTCAGTGAAGCATATCACCATGTCACCACGTTCCCTATTCCCCTATTTTTTTCCCTTTTCATATTTCACTCGACTCGATCATATGGTATCCCACACACAGCCTCTTCGATGAAGTCAAGTTGAGGCCCTCGAGAACGCTTTGGTCCTGTGCGGGGATACAACGCTGATCAAACGCCGCTGGGGCGGGAATGCCAGTATTCGTACTCAGGATATAGATAGATCCGCTCCCAACCTCCAACCTCCAACTTCCCAATTCTGGCTTTGAAGGCCTTGCCTTCGCTGGTTGGCTTGGGGTTATCAGGACAGTATAGCTCGTTCGTGACTCTTGCAATTTCTTGGTCTTGTTCTTCTTCTTGATTGTGATTGATTACGTGGGTTGCCAGATCAGGTCGCCGAGGTGGCGGAGCACAGTAGCTCGTGATACCCCGTGAGAAATAGCTCTCTCTAGCCCTCTAGTCTGAGGGTAAAGAAAGGAGTCCGAGTCCTGTTGCGGATCCATGCGGGGACAGGTAATAAACCTTTTGCAATTTTTCTCTCTAGGCTTTTTTTTCTTTCTTTTGCTCATAGACATATATGCCTGGAGAATGGTAAAATCTGACTGAACAGAATATACCTCGTTAGTGACCACACCGGCGGGATCTGGCCCAGTCTTATCCCGAACATACTTAACTAGGCCCCCTTGCGACTTTTGAAATGCATCTTCCTCAGAACCTGGTACGACAGCCTCTCGTTCCAGAAGAACCTCTCACAGATCCTGATCCGCTCCATCCAACTGCGCTCCACCTCCTGCTTCCCCAAGATCCTCGTGCCGAGCGACCAGGTGAGGTCGTTGGTGTGCGAGCTCGCGAGCATCGTCATGCCGACCCACGTCAGCCACTCGGCCTGGTATCTCCGCGGGTAGGAGGTGTCGAGGAAGCAGGGGCTCGAGGGGAGGAGGCCCGTGTGGACCTGGAGATAGGCCATGTTGAGGAAGCGGCCGCGCTCGCTCCAGTCCATCAGCGAGCAGTAGGCCTGCAGGGCCATGAGGACGAATTGGTCGTGCAGTGGCAGGTGCGGGTGCTGGAGCAGTTCCATGCACCGAGTGGCGTTGGTGAGGTTCGCTTCGACAAGTCCCCGGCTCGCGAGGAGGTAGCTCTCTTCACCTCGTGAAACGGCTGCTCTGACGGAGTCCAGCCATGCGGTGATGACGAGGATGATGTCGATCACTGCGGCCACCGGGCGTTCGCTGATGCAAAAGTCCTCGAAGCCCTGAGGGAGTCTTGATATCTTGGCGCACAGAGCCGGTGGGAATGGGTGGACTGGACGGCGAAGGTGTTTGGCCGTGTAAGCTTTGCCACCTAGTTGACGGCACACGGCTCGCTGACATTCTGCGTGTGATACGAAGCTGGAGAGAAGATGGTCCTGTAAGCCTGGCTCTTCCTACAATACACTGGGGCCACACCCACCTGTCCGTCACAGTCGCAAGCCAGCCATCAAACGCCATCTGCTTGGGGCCACCTCTGCGGTCGATCGCTTCCCTGATGGCTTGTAAATGGATCCAGGCACTGTCGTGATTCGACGTCAATTTCTGCACCGTGGTCAGCTCGTCAGGTCGCGTCCTCGAACACACAAGAGCGCTTTACGTCAAACGTCGCCAAAAACATCATCGTACATATGACCAAGTCCGACACCTTATCCGCAGTCGACTGCAGGTACTGACGAAGCAGTCGAATGCTGGTATCGTACAGTGCCTTTGCCCGTGGAGAAGGCCCATCGCGTTCCCGGTCCATCAAGTCGAACTGCAGCGTCGAGTTTGCCAGCATAGCGACAAACGAGACGTGGTGGCTGAGGATCAGGGGGATGTAGTGTCGCAGAAGGGGTCCGTCCTCTGCCACGCCCTGGATTTGAAGTCGACGGAACGTGGTAGGCGCATAGATGTCGGTGTCTGCGATATCAGGTGAGCATTCTCGTTTGAACCATGTCCGACAGAGAGAATTCTCGACGCACAGTACCTGCAGGCAGCCTTTGCCATCCCTTCAACTCGAATGGGAAAGATGTCAAGCTCCAAGTGCGTGAGCGTCAATGGTCCATGTTGAGCACCTTGCTGGTCCGCATTATGACCACGTTCAGACTCGTACCAGACTGTCTTGGCCTCGTCCTTGAACAGCACCATTCCAACCTCATGCCTGCTCTCCATTCTCCCAGACTTTTCACAGAGGATGTTCTGGTGGGAAGTGCGCCGGGGCCATTTTACCGTTGGTCGTGTTTGAGACCGATGGCTCCGCCTCCAGGATATATCTCTATGGCAGTTCGTCAAGTTGATGGATGCGCTATTCACCAAGGGGGTCGATGACTCTGGGTAGCTCCTTTGCGACAGGTGATCTGGCGTCAATCTGATATAGTCTCTTTTGCACTGAACATCAACAAGACAAATAATAAAAGTAAACCTCCAGTCCATCTAGAGCATAGACAGAGGTAATATCGTCGAAGATGATTATCTCAGCGCACCTTGTTTAGTCCTAGCGGTTCTCTCGCCCTCGTATTCTGAACGACGGAAAGTGGCCGGGAATGCACTCGGTGACTCGGTAGGGCAAGTATACGAGCAGAAGTAACATAACCAGCTACTTGGAATGGCATTTCTGGGAGTGAGCGGTCCGTCTCGTGGGCTGTTGGCCCAAAAGAGCTGGAGGCCACATCATTCGTTATTCGCTCGGTTGCTGGTGCGTCCAGCCTGAGGTGTTTTGATCCGGATCCAAGATCAAGCGGTAGGTCGCGAGCGGACCGCTCTTCCGACGATTGAGCATTGTTGCTATCACTCAGTGACCATTCTCATATGAGGCGCATGGCTTGCGGCCTTTGAAGAGCCCGTAGGGACACAATCAGACCTGTTCGGTGCGTCATCTGCCCTTCAACGAGACCAAGACATGGAATTTCTCTGGAGAAAGGCGATACACTTTCGATGGGGGTCCCGAGTGGGGGAATGCCACCCACTCGCGTATGTAGGAAGCCGTTTGATTCCGGGGCAGCTCCAGGCACCCAGGGGGATCGTCTGTCGTTAGTCATATGCCTGCATATGCCGACCCGGCGACGGGCACCGAGAGAGCGGCCCTCAGCCCTGTAGCAATACCGCAGCATAGTATCAAACACAGTGCAGGCAGACCGTGCTGGTCAGCGCGGCTTGCGTGAAAGTGAATTGAGATACCCCCAAGGGGAGAGGTGGGGATGAGCCGTCATTCTTTCGAGAGAGGGAGAGAAAGACGCAAGAACGAGAACGAGAAAAGAAAGTGTAGCACAAGCAGCAAGGAATTGCATTTCCATTCCCAAAAGTGTTGGACCAGTCCTTGAGGGTGTGCAACTGTTGTTTTCCAGGCTCATGGACCAGTATCTCCAGTCCAAGATGCTCTTTGCCTCTGTCCTCTGTCTTGAACGTTCCCAGTCAAAAATAGTCGCCCGTTCTCCGCGGTGTCAACTAGTCGCACCATATGAAGCATTGATCCTGCTTCAACATCCTCGACCTCTCAGTTCTTTCAAGATGCAGAATTCTGCGAGACAGAGCCTCGTCTCTCCTTGACAATGGACCCCAGAATGTCGTCGACCACCTCACTGATTCGCCGTGGCAACATAGCTGTCAACACGCTGAGTGCCCGCTTACCATCGATTTGGCCGCCTAGCTCTCCTCCTCCTTCTCGCTGCCGCACTTCACGTGTCGACGATACTCGGAGGATTCCCTGGCACGTAAACACCATAGCATGCATGGACACAAGTCTGGTCGATCGCAGCAACGCCTAAATTCTCGTCAGTCATCGAGGCCACTCCCCTATCCATAGACGGACGGGCACTCACGCAAAGTCTGCATCGCTACTCCCCAAGTGCCTGGTCTCTTCTTCTTATCCTCCTCCGAAAGGCCGTGTCCATTCTTATCCGCAAAGTCTGCATCGGCACCGGGGTGGGCGAACACTGGATGTTCCGGAGCCTGGTCAGCGATAGTCGTGCCTACGATTGCGGCAAGGCGATCGCTTCGTTGCAAAAGTGGGAGCCAGTCGCACTTTCTGGCAGCTTTCGGCATCCAATATGTGATGTGTCCGGCGATGTAAGTGTGGAGGGCCTCTGCGTCGCGGTGCTGGTAGAGCGCGTCGATGAAGGTGGGACTGGGGATGGTGGATTCTGTCGCGGTGAACATGCTTGTGATTTTGTCAAAAGCAACCGTCTTCACACCGTGCATCATGAATTTGTCCGCGGCGATGTAGACCTCGAGCCAGAACGTATCTGGTTCCCATGGGGATGGAGGGGACCATTCTTTTTCGGGAACGGACTTGACATAGAGCCAGTCGCACAAGAACTTGATGACATCTGGTTCGTCCTCGGGTAGTTTGAGCTCTTGGGTCGCCGCCTCGAAGAAGGTTCCGTTGAAGGTCGCTTTAAAGAATTTGGAAGCGGCGCAGAGTGAAGCTTTGGGGACGACATACTTGACTTGATCAGCGCCAACCAGGATACTCACCTCTGCATCGTCTGGAGGAAGTCGTGTTCCAGAAGACGCAGACTCTGACTGGAACCTGTTTGAAGCCATTGCCACATAGAGGAAAACAAAAGAAGCAAAATTCTGAACCAGGAATGGACGGTGTGCTGGGAAAGAAACAAAGAGGAAGAGAAAGAAAAAGGAGAATCTCTCAAGGTCAGGCAGTGAAAATTGCGGAGAAGCTGTGAGAAGCAATAGAGGTGAATGAATACACTGTGGTGCGCATGAGGACACTGCCTTGATGTTTGTGTCGAGAGACATGAGATTCCGCTTGTCTGTGAAAGGGTTGTTGCGCTCTTCGCACTCCCAACATGCCACTTGGTGACTTACAAGGTATCTAGTAAGGACAAAGTGAAGCAAAAGTGACAACAGACTTGAACAGAATCATTGATGGGATGTGAAGAGAGACACACAATGACCCGGGCGGCCGCACCCAGTTGCAAACAGTGCAAAGGCCAACATTGACCACCAACGTCCGCCAGTTTATGAACATCTGGCAAGGCACAGAATTTCCCTCCCGATGCCCTTTCATTCCACCCAGACACCATAAAGAGAAATCCCGATCATGGATACATCATCTGTCCTGGACTCACATAGGGCTGCTTGGTCTTTGGATTCATGCCCGTCGTCCTCACAATGGCTTCCTTGTCTTCCTGAATCAAGGTGCAACATCCACACCAGCACGATGTGCAGAAATCACCCACGCTCCCACCCTCGATACCATATCTGTCACGTGTGGAGCCTCGATTGATGCACTGGAGAATGCAATGTCCCCCAAGGTGCATCAAACAGTAGAATGCGCAGCACTGGATGAGTGTCAGTCAGAGAAACCGGGGTCATAAAGAGATTGGGAACACAATGCTGATTGAGTGAGCAACAGGGACATAAACACATACCTGTCCGTTGATGCCACTAGAGTCGTTGTCGCCCTTGTACCGATCTTGTGTCTTCCCGTAAAGAATGCAGGGACACCAACACGCCAAACAACCTATTCAGCAAGGTCAAGATCAGCAGATATTCTCCGGCGACGTTGACCAAGTGGAGCATACAGGTACTAAATGGAGAGAAGCAGTCAAAAAGTCCGAACGACCATTTTCCCGGAGCTCCGCCGGGGTACGCTCCAGCGGTTCCGTTAATGGGTTTGTCATTGGACATTCCCATGGGTTGTTGTGCCATTGTCGCTTGGAATAAAGAATGTCTTGGGTGAGAGTATGTGAATGAGGCGAGCGGGCACAGTATCAACAACGACCGTAGGGAAAGAACCAAAGTTGAAAACCTCAGGTGTCAAAAAGACATTTCAGTCAACGGAGGCGAAATATCAGCATATTTCAGTCATCCACGAGTCATGATTTAGGGCAGCCGTTTAATTGAACATTCCAGGAGACGCGCGGACGGCCCAGACATCTGATCATGGCGGAAGTCTCCGTTAGAGTCTACACCAGTGAAAACGCTGGGGGCTTCAGCTCAAGAAAGAGTTCAGCCCCCTCGTGGACACGAATATCGTTTTCGCAGGAGTGAAGGCTGCATGACTGTCAGCCTCCTGACCCTTTGCTTGATCACGGCATATCAACTTCTTGGAAGCTATCATTGGACCAAAGGATGTCAGGGCGCCGCATAGGGCTGGATTGGGGAAGGTCAGAGCTGGTGGAAGGGGTTCTGATGTCGGAAGTTTGGTCGCCTTAAAGTTTCAGCAGAGACAGCACGAGATGGTAACATACGAACTGGCAAAGTTTTGGGTACAGTTTCTGCCATAGAGAACTTGAAGGCATTGATAGTGGTCCAGAGCGTTCCACAAATTTGTGGGCCAGCAATACAGATGTTCACCATTGCAACTTGTGGAGATTTGACTCAGCGACTGGCCTGGTCGATCTTGGAACTTGCCGGGTCTGGCTGCTTCACGGCTTTGAGATGCTGCTATTGCTTCTTGCACTTGATGTCTACGAGTTAGGAGAGTCCAAAGGCTTGAGACTCGGTCCCGGGAGATGAATGCGCAGATTTCTAAGTCTTTTGGAGGATGACGTTGCAGCTTCTTTCACGAGTACGACTTGAGAAATCCGAGGGCTGCTCAGCTCCAAACTGGCCCCCTGGGACAAGGCCACCTCCAGCTGCTCCGTGCATTCAAAAAGCACATGATTCTGCTAGGGTGTGGTTCGTCAATGAGGCCCTAGCTTGGCTTCCAACATCGTACGAGGCAATTTTCAATAGTTTCGGGTTTGAGAAAGGGATCTTTCTTCTCGTTAGCGAAACCCCACAGTTGGGGGCTGAAAAACTTTGAGGCTGAAAATAGGAGGTGGAGATCAGAAGTACGAATAGGTATACCCAACTGTCGAATCAATGAGAAGGGCTTCTTGGACGCACGACGCACGAACGGGCAAGTCTCGTACCTCCTCGAGAGTACGAGTACTTCTGCAGCTCGAGCACAGGATAGATAGCACGGTATCCGCTGTCGTGTTAGGTTGACTGACTGCAGTATGACTGTCCAGGATTGTTGAAACAACTGGCCTTGACCCAACGTGCGTCGGCGTGGTTTCTGGTGAATCGCATGATTGGAGGCTCTGATCTTCGCCCTCACGAGTGTGTTCGAGCCTGAAGTTTGTCCGGTTTGGCCTCGAAAGATATGTTCGCCGAGCCATCCCGTTGAAACCGTCACCGATTGACATACAGGACGCGATCCGTTGCAGGGTGCGCAGAGTGATTGTTTTGTCTTTAGTCGAAGACAAGGTCGGATAAGAAACTTGCAGGCACTCGAGATGGTAAGGGTTTTAACAGTTGAGGCCTGTCTCAATTTTCTCCAAGTCGAAGTCCTTGGCTCTGAAGACAACAATGGGCTGCCAGGCGGCTCGCTTCCGCGATCTCGTCGACCTTTGTCGCTGGTCGTTATGTATTCCTCTCGCCTTCATGGACATTCGTGTCTCCGTTTGTTGAAGCGTTCGTTGCGTGGGCTCGATTGTATTCTTCCCGCATAGTCTCCAGTATCTGCTGAATCTTCGCTTCGCCTTCTTCACCGGGAAATCGTTCCTCTAGCTCTTCTATCACGAGAGAAAGAAACTGGCGATCGTCAGGTTCCTGTGGCTCTTCGTCCCCCTCTGCAGTACCATCCACGCCGTCAACGTCGGCATCGCCGCCACCGTCATCTTCACCACCATCACCCTCGCCGTTGACTCTCTCTGCTTGTGCGTCGCCATCCGTAGTTTGCCGTAGCTGCTGCCCCCTCGGCAATCCCAATCCCAAATTGATCAAGACGAACGCTTCGGTTTTCGTCAATCCAAATGCTCGCAATCTAGGCACGACATTTTTGATAAAGGTCTCTGGCGGTGGGTATCGGGCGATGAAAGGGACCGTATTCGTGACATAATGTTGGAACTAGACACAGACACAGGTCGTCAGCGATAATTCGTCTCTTTGGGGGATATTTCAGCCCAAGGGATATATCCCCTGCGCTGTAGACATACGTCGTCTCGCACGCGCTCATAGTCCTTCAAATTGACCTGCTTGTAGGAGCCTATCTTCCGAGGCGGAGGGCGAGGCGGGTTTTGGGACAGGAATTGATGCACTTCAGAAGTTGTCAGGAGGGCGGATTGGGGATCGAGGACCTATGGACCGTCAGTCACTTTTCTCTCCAGCCGCTGGTAAAGTGGTGGGGGTTCAAGATCATCAGAAGACACGTACCCGCATTCTGCCTAGGCCTGCTACTGAATGGCAATCTGAAGTCAGATCAAGCTTGGAAATACATGCTCTTCGACTTGTCCTGAGGAAAGCAAGATGTCTGGAACTGGAGACTCTTCTGACCTACTGCAATAACATCAGTAGAGTGCGAGCGAGCCCAAAAGCGCAGGTGAAATGCGGAGAAATTTTTCCAGGACCAGAATCTGCTGCGGGGAATCTTCAGCCTGACGGGTGTCAACGAGGCTGCGCAATTGGTGCATCCACTAGCAACGCTTTACCACCCATCCGGTCCTTTGCACAGAGAGAGCTAACAGTGCATTTGTATTGGAACACAAACACTAAACCGGCTATCTAAAAGTAGGCTCATCCAGTAGTACGGCCTTGTCCTTGCAGATTGTACATTTTTCTCGTCGACAGCATTACTCCGACCAGCTGGAACCCCATCCCCCCGACGCCATGCAGTAACCTGAGATGCAGAACGACACAAGACAGCGAAGATAGCAGTCAGCACATTATGCCTTCTCTTTCCGCTTCTTTTTCTTCTCTGACTTCGACGTGTCGGCGTCTTCTTCAACTCGTTTTCGCTTTTTGGTCCCCTCAACTTCGCCATTTGCCTCCTTCGCCGAAGCCTTTTCGGCAGCTTTCTTAGCCTTCTTCACCTCTTTCTTTGAGACTGCTACAGGTGTGCCGTCCTCTTGAAACTGGATCTCGCCTCGTGCTAGCTTCCGCTTGTATCTTTCCACGCTCAATCCACACTGGGCAGCTAATGTTTCAATCTTATCCTCCTGACCAGCTGTTGCCGCCTTCTCTACCCTGGCCTTCTTTTCTTTTTTCGCCGCCTTGCGAGCGGCTTTCTCGGCATGTTTTCTCTCCTTTTCAGCCTTTTTGGCTTCCTTTTTGGACAATCCGTTAACTCCGTTGACGACGGATGGCACTATCGCTTCAACCTCGTCCGCAGTTATTGGCTCGTCAGGTTGAGACTCAGCTTCATCGTTATCCAATTCGCCGACCTCTTTCATATCGACATCCTCGGAAACCTCCTCGATGAGCTTCTTTTCCTTCTTGGACTTCTTCGGTTTTTTGGCTGGAGCCTCATCACCAGCCAACCCATCGGCATCAGGGTTGTATTTCCGCGCTTCTTTGATCTCCCATTTCTTGGGTTGTGGTGTAGTGGAAGTGCCATTGGGCGCAATGGCGACACCTCGAGGTTTCAGTGGCTTGCCCTCCATAGCAGCTAGCTTGCGCTCAAGGTTCGCTCGTGCGGATAATCCAAGAGCGGCCTTCTCGTCCTCGGGAATGTTGACTTCATCATCCCCCCATTCTTGCAGGGCGTCTACTCTCAATCCTAGTGCGGCCTTTGCGGCAAGCACTCTTGCCATCTTGCCCTTGTTTTTGCCACTCGCTTGGCCAATCAAGGACGCATGGTAAATAAGACCGTATTTAGGGGTGTCATGCTTCGTCTTTAGTGCACGGAAGAGTGCCTTCTCAGCTCCGAGGATTTGTATCGTACTCGCAGGGCTTTTGGACAAATTCATCAGACTTCCAGCGTGGGCGATCAGCCGAGCACCCACAAGATCACCGACAAGGGTTGTTAAATTGGGGGCGATAGCTGTCATTCTTGCGGACAGATAGCTGGCAAGCTGTGTGCGGTATTCTGTGAATTGCACCACCTGCTCGGCTAAGCTCTGTATATTCTCCAAATCTTCGTCAGTGATCTCGGTGCCCATCGACCTGTCGGCAGCGGCCTTTACTGCGGCTTCAATCTCTTCTGGTAGAATTTCCGCAAGATCACAGGTTTCCCAGTTTGTCCGCATGCCCATCTTCAACACCACTTTCGCATATGCGAGGTTGTCGTTCAGAATCTTTGCCATCTCGGGGAAATGCCAACCATACCATTCCTTTACTCTCATGGCATAGGTGTTCAGCTCTTTATCCAGGTCATCCAGTAGGCCGATTGCCTGTACAATCATGACATCGATTTTGTCCGGAGAGAATTTGAGCTTGTGTCTCGCAAGAGAGTGTGAAAGACCCAGGGACATAGTCTTAACATCGTCCGGCAACAGACCAGGAATGAGAGAGGGCAGATATTCTCGGATGGCTCGATACAGGTCGGCGGTGGTGGAATCGGCGACGGCTTTGATCTCCAGGCCGGGAATTTTTCCAATTGCGTTTCCCAGCTTTGGGTCTGCGACGGCAAGAGATATCTTTTTCTCGTCTTTCAAGGTATTCAGTAGAGAAGAAAGTTTCGGGGTGACTTTGCCTTCCACAATTGCGGCCGCTTCTTCCAGTGCCGCAGCCGCGCTATCGAATTTCTGGAACTCCTTCAATTTGAGCATAGACGTGACATTTTCGACATTGCTCAGTTCAGAAGCAAGGTCGTCGTGCTTGAGCAGTTTCTTGTCTTTGGCCTTGAGCAAGGCATAACCCGCAGAGGTTTCGGTGAGGATGAGGAGGGTCATGGTGAGGATATGCGCAACACGCGCCTCTAATGAATGTGGGAGATATTAGGATACTGGATGTGCCTCGAAAGAAATATCAAAAAGCTCTCCAAAATTTCGCGAACCTCAAACTGCACAATTTTGCGGAGCGGACCCACCCGTGCCAAGCCTTTCTGTAAAGAGCAAGTGCGGCGAGAAAATCAATGGCGACAAGGTCTTCTATGAGGACGCACCCTGATGATATGGCACGCGACATCTATCCCTTTGCTATCGAATTTCAGCGACCTCATCACTATAATTCTATATGTGCAGCAGCCCATAGTCGCTCGATTTCTGCCTCCGGATCATGTCCATACGCCCACTCGGTCAACACCGGGTCACTCCACTGGTTGGGACTTTCCTTGATCTCTGCATGCTGAAGCTCCGCCTTCATAGCTTCATCACGGGCTCGCTGCACTGGTCCGTCCGGAAGATGTAAGATCAGGCCATGACCAAAACTAGCTTCATAGACTTTCTTGACCCGGGGTTTCCGCGCTTCTTCCCACCTGGATATCGCTGCTGGCAGGTCTTCTATTGATCCGACATGCTTCAACGTGGCAGCTAGTGCAGCAGCATCTTCCACTGCCATTGCAGCCCCCAATGCCATGTACGGTACCATTGCATGAGCTGCGTCGCCTGTGATCAGAAATTTACCTGATGGAGATGACCAGATTTCGGGAATATCGATGCAGTTGATAGGCCAGTCTAGTGTTGAAGTCACCATCTCCAGGAGTCGCCTCAGACTTTATTTGATGGACAGTGGCCTCACAGTCAGCACAATTCGGTTCCAGAACCAAGTGTTATGCTCTAAGAGGGAGACTTACCATGGATCCCATCCTGCATATTGTGCCCTCATCTTCTCTAGCACTTGAGGCATGGTTTGCTCAGGACCCTCATGGTGATTTTGCGGATGGGTGACAACCAAATTAAAACGTTCTCCTCCAGCAATGGCATAGCTCATTACATGTAGGTTATGTCCGACCCTTGATGAAAGTCAGCTAAGTCATGCGTTGCACATTCTGAATATTCCCGCAAATGTCTCGTACCACAAATGGAGATTGGGCTGCTCGGCAATCCACCTGGTCAATGGGTCTGCCCTTATATCAGCAATGGAGATTGTTCCTCGATATGCAGAAAGCCCATGACTCCAAGGCCCTTTGTCTTTGTCGCCATTGAGCTCCCGGCGAGCCAACGACTTCAATCCTACGGGAGTATGTTTCAGTTCACGTGCAGTAGAAATCTGATCTTGGGTCGCTTCTCACCGTCAGCTGCGACAATGAGATCCGCGTGGATCATCTGGCCATCGACAAATGTCACTTCGCCTTTTTTCGTGTCGTACTTCTGCACTCTTTTCGACAAATGCACAGAAACACCCAGTTCAACTGTGCGTTCATGCAAGACTTCATGCAAGTGCGCTCTATGGGTCACATAATACGGCGAGCCAAACCGTTGCTTGATGTCAGGATTGAGCCTGGCTTTGCCAATGACAGAGCCATCCTCCCAGCGTCGCCAAATCAGAGCCGCTGGCTTGACAGACCGCCGTTCAAGCGCAGAACATAAGCCCCAGGAATGGAGAATCCGGGCTGAATTCGGGGGAATCTGGATACCAGCTCCTACCTGCATCAATCCATGAGTTGATAGATCGCATCAACACCTTCGCACAGCGGGACAAAGCCACCAAGACAGATCAGCGCCATGGAGAGCTTACCTCACTCAAAGCAGAAGCCTGTTCATACACGGACACATCATGGCCTGTTTGAGCCAAAGCAATCGCATTCGAGAGTCCCCCAACGCCGGCGCCGATGATGGCCACTTTCAGTTTCACCCATCGATGCTCGTGCGTCCCGTTTGTTCCATTCGTGATCATGGAGTCCGTTCGTCCGTTTGGGATTGCAGCTGCTCCATTCGACAAATTGCTTTTGACCAGCGTCGGCCCTGACCATTCCTTCTCCTTGCGAAGACGTCGGATAAAGTTGTACGATCCTGCTGGATAATCAGGTATCTAAAGGATATTTTTCACCTGTCAGTGTTCCTCAACGTGGAAACAGTGAGCTTGGCCAACGAGACCATGTTCACTTACCTCGATCTTATCCAACTCCACATTCATCTTCGTTCCTCAGTTTCCCTACGTGTGTTGACGTTGGAGTAAGTGATAGCCACTTTCTTCGGCCCTGCTTCTGCACGCCTCCTTTTCGACTTAGAAATATTGCGTGCGTATCATCAGGTCCTGAAGCCGCGTCTGCCCTTCTGCTGATCATGATGCTTTTATACCGACACTCGGATTTCCCCCGATCAAGGCAGAGAGAGGACCCTTTCGTGGCTGCGAACAAAAACGCCAAGTGCAATGACACGAGTTCCCGTGTCAGCAACCTTTCTGGAGCATCCAGTAGGAGCGTTACATGGGCAGATCGTGGACATATACTATGTACCTGCCAAGGTCTGATAGCCCGTAAGATTTTTGGGAGCCGCCCGAAGCGTTGATTACATACACAAACTCTATGCAATTGGTATGGATTCACTTTCTTATGAAGCCAGCCAGCTTTTCCCTGAACAATGCACCAGATCCCACAAATGCCGCCGGTTTTATCTTCCATTTTGGGCAGAGAGGTTAATCTTATCAGCGTCGTCACTCCGGAGCTAATTTTGGTGTTGAGCGGATTCAGAGGACGATAGGTATTATTATTACAACAGGCAACTTACCGTGGGATAATGTTTCATCCTGCTGAGACGAGAAGGCTCGCCACTCTTCGAAGAACGATCAGAGCAAATACTGGCTAACAGCTTCCTGGTCGCAATGAGGCCGTACATACTCGCCCTCTCTGCCTGGCGTCTCTGGTACAGTACACCGCTGGCATTTGTTGCTAGTCTCCCAAGAAAAGAATTTTTACAGCCCGATCAGAGGTTTAAGGCTAAGCAACAAGTCCTGCTGACAACATGAACATATGACAATCTTAGGAACACAATGAGTATGTGTGCGAGTTTGGGACATGTACTGGATCTCTCCTCCGGCTGCCAGCTCGCGGCCGCTCTCCCGCTTCCACTTGCTCCAGGTGTTCCTCATATGCGGGAAGCCCCGTGTCACGCTGTGGCGCCTGACAAGTATCTTCACAGGAGAAGAAGAGAGGACTGCTTATTGAGAGACTGTGTGCGAAGGAGGTGCTCGAAGCGATTTGTCTCTCATTATTCCTGCTGCTCTATCGTTGAGGATGGAAAATGCCGATGTTCAACAGGGAGCTACTCGCTCACCTGTATATTTCCTTTCTCCACCGAACATTCTTTGCCAAGTCGAGTGTTGGTGGTATAGAGGCGGGTCTAGGCAAGCAGGGCAGTAGTTACCTCGTATCCATGGCCATGCCATTGCCGTTCAGACCACAGCCCCAGCTTGCCCTCTGACCTCAGACATACGGACAGCATTGATGGTTTACGATGATCTTCAATATCACCATCTAGTCAGAGCCTCATCTCGAAGACCCAGCTGGCAGTCAATGAGTAGCTCTTCAGCGCCCCTCGATTCACACTATCCCCACGATTCATGTCGTTGGCCTCAGGAGAAGAGGACTTCAGATCCGCAGAATGACAGGAAGACTGCTTTCTGTCGTGACTCTGACACCATTTCCTTCCCTTTATACCTAAACCAAGCCTTGTTCTTGGGGCTTACCACACCACCATTCGTACTTCAACTTCATCATCATTGGTCAAGTCTCTTGATATTTTCCTCCGCAGAGCTCAGGGTTCAGTCGTATCCTCTCAGCAATATTGTCTCTGTCCTCGATTTCCGTTGGTTGAAGAACACCATGGATATACAAACTAACAAAAACCCCAGATCAGAAAACCCCACATTGTGGTCATTCCTGGGGATCTATCGGACGATTGTGTTGTCTGAATTCGATATTCTATGGACTCACTGCGATGTCGGAGGGAATCTGGCATCAATAGGCTTTCCTTTCAGTCACGGACCTATTGGCTCTGCCCATTTGCAACTAACATACGAGGAGTTGCCGGCTCTCTTCCGAACCTTTCTCGCTGCCCATCATGATTCCCCAAGGCGGGTTCCCCAATTTCTAGGCGCATCCTCGGTATATCATCAAAGGTTAATTATCAAGCCTGCCCAAGAATTCCAGTTGGGAGTATATTGTGCTGGTCAAAGAAACATATTGCTGGATATCTAACCATCTGGCCGTCTCAAAGAGTATCCAATTCAAGATGACCACGGGAAACGAGAAGGGATCGGTGAGGTTTTCCCTTTTACTTATATCACGGTATATTTGGCTAACTGTTCTGTTGTATACCAGACTCGCACGGAGACGGATGCGATTGGCTCCATCGAGGTAGCCCTGTCCTTTGAAAGCGATGCGTTGACGAGGACACTCCTGACTTGTTACCCTGTGGCTAGGTCCCTTCTGACAAATACTGGGGTGCTCAAACGCAACGGTTAGCCTCAGCACCCCCTGTTCTTTGTGCTTGTCCTGATGTCAGAGCGGATACATAGCTCATTTCAGAATTTTCGGATCAACCAGGAACGCGATCGCATGCCAACCTCGGTGATCCGTGCCTTTGGTATCATCAAAGGTTCTGCAGCAAAGGTCAATGTGGAGCATAACGCACTGGGTAAGTTGTATCTCGTTCTTTCGTGCCAAGGCTTTGCAGACGGTGATGACCAGGGATGACTGAAGAATGACGATAACAGACGCGAAACTCGGACAAGCCATTCAGCAGGCAGCTGGGGAAGTGGCTTCGCTGGCACTGATAGACCACTTCCCTTTGGTGGTATGGCAAACTGGGTCAGGCACGCAGACCAACATGAACTCCAACGAAGTCATCTCGAATAGAGCCAACGAGATTCTTGGCCATCCGCTCGGTCAGAAGAAACCGGTCCATCCCAACGACCATGTCAACATGTCCGGCTCTTCAAACGATGGGTTTGCAACCGCCATGCATATTGCTGCCGTCCTGGACCTGGAGGACCTGTTACTCCCAGCATTGACTAGCCTCCGCGACATCATGAAGAAGAAGAGCGAGCAATTTGCTCATATCATCAAGATCGGACGGACTCACCTCCAAGATGCCGTGCCACTCTCACTGGGACAGGAATTTTCTGGCTTCGAGAAACAACTCGAGCTGGGAATCCAGCGGGTCGAACAAGGACTCGAAGGTCTCCGCTTTCTGGCCATGGGTGGGACGGCCGTTGGGACAGGTTTGAACACATACAAAGGATTTGACGAGGCCTTTGCGGCTGAAGTCAGTCGGGTCACAGGCAAACGCTTCTTCACGGCACCCAACAAGTTCGAGGCCATTTCCGCGAACGACGCCATTGTCTATGCCTCTGGCGCACTCAACACGGTGGCCTGCTCCCTGTTCAAGATTGCCCAGGATATCCGCTTCGAAGGGAGCGGGCCACGGTGTGGCTTGGGGGAATTGCTCTTACCCGAGAACGAACCAGGCTCGTCTTTCATGCCGGGTAAAGTGAATCCGACACAATGTGAAGCCATGACCATGGTCTGTGCGAAGGTCGTAGCGAACCACGCAGCCATCACTCTGGGAGGTCTGAGCGGACAGTTTCAATTGAACGCGTTCAAGCCCCTCTTGATCTCTGATTTCCTGCACTCGGTGCGAATCTTGAGCGACGCCATGCGCAGTTTTGAAAAGAACCTTTTGGAAGGGCTCCGCGCGGACGAGAGACGCATCAACTACCTGTTGGGACAGAGGTGAGTTTCATATCCATCTCCCCGGTTATCCGGCCTTCACAAGGGTGCCGTTTCTCTGACATACACACAGCCTGATGCTCGTGACGTGCCTTAGCGGGAGACTGGGGTATGACTTGGCCTCAAAGGTCGCGAAGCATGCCTATAAGCACGATCTCACCCTCAAGGCCAGCGCGGTGGAGCTCAACGCTCTGAGCGAAGAAGAATTCGACCTTCTCGTACGGCCTGAGAATATGATTGCTCCGTCATAGTCAACCCGGGACAAGTGCCAAGGCGGGTAGACGTCGAGATTGGTGATAGTAATAGCGCATCTAGAGGAACCGCGGAGTCCATTTCGAAGTATCTTTTCTGGTTTGGGTTTGATCAACTGGTTTGCTGGTTGGTAGGAAACTCGACTATACGAGGTGCATGCGATCTCACAACAACCCAACTGCCAGATTATTTTAGATCGAGGGCGGCGAATGCGGCCGACGAGCTGGGTAAGATCTCGGCGCATGTCCGAGTTTCTAGCCGGCTCACATCTCAATAAACAAATAGAATTCAATGGGGCGACTGGGACAGAACTCTCCACGACATCTGTTATAGGTACTTATATAGTCATTACCCGAGGTAATACCAGGTGCTCTTCCATTATGCTGGGGATACAAGGCCCAAGACGCAATACATCGAACAAAAGACACCCTTTCTTGAAATCGAAAGCTGACTCCAGCAGGCTAAGATGCCACTTACACTTTACACAGTATTTTGGGGTTTCTTAAGCTGTGACTATCAAAAACCATCACAGCCTTGCTACCGAGGATTTCCCCTCTTTCTCATTTCCCAAGATATAGGAGGCCATGAGGCGCAAGACTCAACGACCATCGCCCTCTTCGGGACATAATTGTTGTAGCCGAACAACCTCGGGTCTACATTCCGGACGCGGAACATCTCTCGTCATCTTCGACCTACGCTTTACGATTGACGATCGACAGGGACATGAAATAGGGAGCCATTTATTGCAAAAAGACATCGTTAAGGGGTCCGTTATCACCCATTACCTCCCGCAGGCAGTCAACCATGGTGACCCCCACCGCGGATGGTCTAGCGTCGCGGCATGGCCTTGACGACGCTGCTCTCGGCCAGTATCTCGTGGGAACGCCCTCGATGCCGCCGCTGAAGTTGCCCGTGGTGTCGACAAAGATTGGCTACGGTCAGAGTAATCCGACGTACTATGTCGATGATGCAGCGTAGGTGGTCTCTACGTTCAAAGCTATGGCTCTGTTCGACACAACTAATACGGTGCTTTGTCAGAGGTACCCGACTGATTCTCAGAAAGAAGCCAGCGGGCCAAATCATCAGCAAGGTCGCACATCAGGTTGACCGCGAATATCGCGTGTTGAAAGCCCTGGGGACGGTGGAAGGGTTCCCCGTGCCAAAGGTGTACGCGCTATGTATGGACGATTCTGTCATCGGCACGGCATTTTACGTACGTTATGCCTCTTGCATGATCCGAAAATCTCCTCGTGAAAGCTTTGGCTCGGGCTAACTGGGAATCGAATGCTGGGACAGGTCATGGAGTTTGTCAAGGGGAGGATATTCACCGATTATAGCCTCCCAGAGCTATCGCCCTCGGATCGGCGCAAGGCGTGAGTCGAGCGAAAATCCATCTGTGCCTGTATCGAGTGTCAGGGGCTAACAGCGCGTCTTGTTCGCTAGCTGGTTCTCGCTGGTCGAGACCCTCGCGTGGCTTCATTCCATTGACCCGTTTTCCATCGGCTTGGAAGGGTTCGGCAAGACCACGGGGTTTTACGCGCGGCATTGCAACACCTTTGCGAGGATCGAGGCCGAACAGGCCAAGATCACAGACAGCGAGGGAAAGCCGCTGGGGAGGGCGCACGAGCACTACGATGAAATTCTCGACTACGTGAGGAGGAATCTACCCGGTGACCGCTACGCGATTGTTCACGGGGACTATAAATTCGACAATGTTGTGAGTAATCTGCTCGCCAGACGGCCATCGACAGAGTTATCATTTGCCCTAACATAATAGTGATACAGATCCTCCACCCTACCGAGCCACGAGTCATCGCGATCCTGGACTGGGAACTTTCCACCATTGGACACCCGCTAATGGACGCCGTCTTTATCGTCTCATCTTTCTGGAACGAAAAATACAAGAACACCACCGGCGGCTCTGGTGTCGTTGGCGCCGCACGCTCCTCGACACCTCTCTCCACCGTCAGCGGTGTCCCCAGCGCCGACGAGCTGATAGACCGGTACAGCGAGATCGTCGGGTTTGATCCACGCAAGGAAGGGGGAGGCAAGGACTGGGAAGTCGCCAAGATCTTTCACCATGTCCGTGGGAGCACGATCACGCATGGGATCCAGGCGAGGACGATCCGCGGCCAGGCAAGTAGCGAGTTCAGCCATTTGTATTTCGAGTATACCAAGTCAGGTCTGGACATTGCGTGGAGGATTGTGCAGGAGTTGAAGGCAAGCGAGACGCCGTTGGCGAAGATCTGATGGCACGGCTTGATGTGATGGTCCTTCGTGGGTACCTATATAAAAATTTGAAATGCTTGGTTTCAACCTGCGGAATGGTGGTTGAGTGGGTGGACTTCAACTCGGCCTCTCTCAGCAGAGGGCAAGTTGTGCTCGAGCGGTTTTGTCATAGTTATTATTCGAGAAGAGTTCAAAGCAATGCCTGATAAATAATGCATCGCAACACCTTCTTGATCACTATCGAAAGCAGAGTGGGTTCCGTCCACCCCACAAACTGGGACCCTCCGTCCTAATTCAGCCTCGTCGTTCCGAAAGCGGATTTGTCATTTCCCAGCAAAAATCGTTAAACTTTGGGCTCGGCAGCATCTTCAAACCTCTGTTTGAGGATGAGAAGAACAACCTTCCGATCCTCGAGAATACGACTACGTCTTCTTTTTCCCGAATATATTCCCTTGGCCGTGCTGTATCCGCTAAGCTTGCGGGTTTCCCGAGGTCGCGGCTTGTTCAAACATGGGGAACCCTTGGCGATGGTCACAACCAATCCTTTCATTCTGGACCTGGTGACTCCCACACGTCGTCGCATTCGCTAAACGATCTTGGAGATTGGTAGACACATGTATACACCTCCTTGCACGCACAGATTCTCCAACGGTACCACCATTTACAGTTAACCGACTAGCAGAGGTGGGCATCGGACACCATAGCTCTCCCGTCCTGCTTAATCTGACCCCATTCGTACGGTGTATGTCTCACAGCACGCAACATTGACCACTCACTCGGCCTGAATGATGGCCACATTCGTCAAGACCCTGGATGTTCTTCCCCATTTGGTACCGTCGACTTCGGGTATGTATACAATCGGCATGCCCGAGGCTATCGAAACAGAGATTCTCATCATCAAGACCAACATCAACGGGTTCAACCCCGCCTTTCAAGGAATTCGATAAATGAGAACCTCAAAGCTCAGAGAGAGTCTCTCTTCTGCTCCTTCCAATCTGTCCATAGAGGACGTCGTCTGTCTCTGGGATTGGCCCTCAAAATGCAGAAATACCAGCTCCTGTGCATTATTTTCGTCACTTTTGGCTCCTTCTTCTACGGCTATGACTCTGGTGAAGAGACTCCAAAGATCCCTTGTTGTAGCGTGTCGGTGTACTGACTCTCTCCAGGATGTACAACATCGGTCTTGGGCTATTCGTCCTTCATCGAATACTTCGACCTCAATGCAACGACTATCGGAGCCTTCGGATCTGCCTACTATGGCGGCGGTGCCGTTGGCTGTTTCCTCAATTACTATCTGCCTGACAAGTTTGGACGTCTACGGACCATCCAGGCGTCCTGCGTCCTCGGGTTGATCGGCTCTGCCATGCAAGCTGGGGCGACCAACTTTCCTGTCTTCTGTACCGGACGTGTCATCACTGGCATCGCAACAGGAACCATCTTTTCTGTGTGTCCGACATACGCTTCAGAGATAGCAACCCCAGAGATCAGAGGGCGTGTTGGCTCGCTCTACGCGTTCAACGTCAACTTTGCATACATGCTGACCGAGTGGGTGGGTCTCGGTTTCTACTACATCAAGGGCAACGCCGCATGGCGCACTCTGCTGGGGCTCCAGCTCGCCCCGGCCGCTTTCATGCTGGTTGCCTCGTTCTGGATGCCCTTCTCGCCTCGGTGGCTGATCATGAAGGGACGAGAGGACGAGGCGCTGGAAGTGCTCCGGAAGCTGCACGAGGGCGTCGAGGGATACGAAGAGGACTTTTACGTCAAGGAGTTCCACCAGATCAAGACGCAGTACCAGATCGACAAGGCCAACAAGCTCGGCCTCGTCGCCATCTTCAAGAAAAAGTCGTACCGGAAACGCATGTACCTGATTCTGTTGTTTGTGAGCTTCTGCCAGTTCACCGGCATCATCCCGCTCCAGAACTATCAGGTCACAATCTACACGAAGCTGGGGTTCACCAATGTCTTCAGTCTGATCCTGACAGGTATTTGGGGGACCTTGGGTTGCTTGTCGACGATTACCGCCAGCCAAATTGTCGACAGGCTGGGTCGACGACATCTGATGGTACGTAACTGCACTGCAAACAACTCACACTTATCCAGCGATATCATCAAACTGACACGCACCCAAAAAAAAAAAATAGTTTGTGTCATACAGCTTCATGATCCCCGGGGGCATCCTGCTGGTGGCCCTCTGGGCCAGCTTCGAAGCCACGCACAGCACCAACTTCTCGCTGGGCAAGGCCGTCATCTTCGGCATGTTCTTCTACGGCTTCGGCTACGGCGGCTTCATGAACACCTTCTTCCCCGTCTACTGCACCGAGATCATGCCGACCAACATCCGCGCCACGGGCACCGCGAGTGGCTACGCGCTCTTCAACCTCATCGTCATCATGCTGGTCCAGGTGACACCCATGGCCATCGAGGCCATCAGCTGGAAGTATTTCATGATCTTTGTCATCTGCGACGTCGTCTTCATCGTCATCTTTATCCTGTTTTACCCGGAGACCAAGAATAAGACGTTGGAGGAGATCAGTGCCATCTTTGGCGATGAGGTATGTATAACGACACACACACTCTCTCTCTCTATATATATATATGCAAGGGAATCGTCCCAAGGCGATGACCATACAACAAAGCTAATACCGGGTTCGTTCTAATTCTAGGTCGCCGAGACGCTCGAAGAGGCCGGCCAACATGTCAGCGAAGTCCTGCACGAGCACGAGCATGACCACGAAAAGGCCGCGCATCACGTCGACCACGTCGCCGTCAAGAGTGCGTGAAGGATCGATAACAGAGAGAGAGGGAGAGAGGGAGAGAAGACACACGGCGGGGTGATGCGAGGAGTAGGTCGCAAAGACGCACGAACCTAGTATTTTTGGTAGTAGCTACTACACTACCTAGCCCCTTGGATCTTACCTTGGTCTTGGAGGCTCGGTATGAAGAGGCTGGGACGTGGCGTGATCCGGGAGGATGACCGCGCTCTATGCGGGTATCAGTAGCAGTAGCATTTTGCATTAGTTCCAAGATATGTAGGGTTTCCTGTGTGCGAGAAAGACTTTACCTTCTCGAGAAAATTAACGCTTGATCGGCAAAGCCGTCCTCATACTCGATAGTGGGCCAACCATAATATACTATTCAAGGCTCTTTTTGAGAGAACAGACCGGCCCGCTTAGCCCATCAGATTTCTTGCTGTAGACGCGGTTGACAAGACCCCGTTCGTCCTGTGCCCTTGTGGGAGGAAGAATCTCGATCTCTATCAAATTGCGAACTCTATGGCCCACCATTTTCTCTCTCTCTCTTTCTCCCGTCTTGCTCTTGACAGTACACTGTATGATCCCTTTATAGAAGTTTTCCTTACATCGCAACTTGAGTTGCAACACTATACTCAGTTAGGTAGGTATCATTTGTAAAATGCTCTAAACAGTCCACCACCAAGACTTCTTGGCTGAGGTCTCATATACCAAGAGCAGTACCTCTCTCGACAGCTTCAAGCTGATTCGCCGTGACGAGGAACTTGACGTGCTGTGAACACAGAATGCCTTTAGTGCCTGCACCACCACTGAGACGGCAATGGAGGCAACTTACCTGCGAAAACTCGCGGCATCCTCGACCATTCAGCCATCTCACGTTGGTGTTCAGGAAGATGGTGCAGGGCTGCGAAGCCAGCTGCGTCAAGCGCACGAGCTCGTAAACACCCAACACGTCGGCGGGGTATGCGAACTCGTTGTCCATTTCACCCGCAGCGAATGCATTCGGGTATGTCTCCTCGTTGACTCTCAGCCACTCGGGCGTCAGGAGGTATGGGTTGTCTCTCTCCACGAATTTGTACCGGTACGCGTTGTAGCAGATGGTGATCTGACTGAGGCACGGGAAATACATCAGGATCATCCTGCGGACCGTATCGAACCCGCTGTCCACAGTCCGACCCGACAGGCCGCTGATATCGAGCTCTGTGATCCGATGTCTCAGCGACGACCAGGTCGGTGCGCAGATCTTGGAGAACGCGCGATCATAGTTCTCCTCGTCCCAGACGACCCTCATCCGACCGTTAAATGACCGCCGTTGCGCCTTTCGAGAATCTGCGCGCATCTTTTTGCAGACGAGTCCGAGACCGCCGTAGTCGTGGCCCTGCACCACTATTTCAGATGTCGGCCCGGCTTCATAGTATTGTACTCCTTCGAACGATTCCAGACGCGGACTCATAAAGACCACCACACCGTGCTGTTCCTCGTAAACGAACTCGTAGACCTTGTCCTGGAGTTCCTGGGGCAGCTTGAGGAACGGGAATGGGGCATATAAGGGGGACTGGGAGCGTGGGGAGGATGCACCCCTGTCTCCAGACCAGTCGTCGTCCCAGCTCGGAGTACCATATGCAACGTCGTTCGGTTCACTGGGAAGATCGTCCCATCCTCGACCGAGCCCACCACAACTACCTCGATTCGTCGCGCCATAGGGTCGGAGTTTCGGGTGGGCGACCCAGCACTGGCTCGTGGTGTGGCCGTACTTGCCGCACTGGGGGTGGGTACATCTGATCGGACGTTGGTGAGGATATGATCGATGCTTTCTGGGTGTTCTTGGTGTCATTATGTCTCAGAGCAGAGGCGCCATCGAGTCACCAACGAGGCTGGCAACTAAAAAGAAGGCGACGAATCTTCACCATCCAGTGGTGGGAAAACATCACAGTCGACTCAGTGAACACCCGACCCCCAGAGTGACTAAATAGTATTCCTTATACAAGTGGCAAACACAGAGCAAGTTTGAATATACCGACCCCATAGTTTAGCAAGGGCACCCAAGTTCGTGGTGTCACTGGACATCTCGCGTAGCGAGTTGAAATGCATGTGCCATGTGTGGCAGTGACATGCCCGTGGGTCGTCGGCGAAGAGCGTACACGGCCAACCCACTCCCACAACAGAGCCGTGAGGAGCCTCGGCGTCACCAAGAGAGAGTGACATGCCTCTACGTGTGAATTCTCCGGTTCGACCATTTATGGATTGTGCAGGTTGCAGTGGACGAGCGTTATATGGGTCGGAAGGTTTTCAACAAAAAGTCTAGATCTGTGGATCGGCAAAGTAATTAGATTTGGGAACTTACCAATACGTCGGTATCTCTCTTATCTGCCTCTTGGCCTCGGTTGCTGTGTGAAAGCTTGCATCGGTAATGACTGCCTGTTACTGACTCATGATGGTCTGGCGGTAGGAGCACTATACTTTGCCAACATATTCCGAACCGGCAAGACTTCCAGTGGATTCCGTTGAGGAGGGAACGATATGGTATTCTGTTGCTGGTGCGAACACGGATTCATGTTGCTTGGAATGACTTATGGCTTCGATATCTGATGAGACTGACGAGATCTCTGACGATTGTGACTGTACGGGAGATATGTTTGCGGATAAATCTTGACGTGAGATGTGGATTTCAGATAGAGTTCGCAGATGGCATTGTGCGATGACCATGAGAAGACGAAAAGTCGAGACCCAGAGAAGGAGCTGCGCCAGGATCGTTGCAAGGCATTTTGTCGGCTTTCGATGGCTCGATACTGGGATAATAGTGGATGGCGCTCGAACGTTGTCATTCTTCTCCGCATTGGAAGCTTGGCTAATCGAGAATCACGTAATGCCATGGCGTATGTGGTTGGTTCTTTTTAGTCAGAGGTGTCTCCCATCTGCTGGGCTTCGCTGGATATTTTAGGTAATATGACCTTTCTCGGGTGAAGATGAGGAACCCCCTCTCGTACGAAAGTTTCACAGAATCAGGGAATTGACTACCCCAGTATCAGGGATGTGGAAGACTTGAAGACATAAGGTTGTGAATAGAGGTGATGATCATTTCTCATTTCTATCACAGTGGGAGATCTATCCAAGGGCCCATGATGCTGTTTGCGACATTGTCTGTGGGTTGTTTGCCGGAAAAAGAATAACGGTAAATGGAATGAATGTCTGGAGTCTCGGAAACCAATAGGAAGCTCTATACCAGGGTTGTGGATGCTGAGTAGTGTTCCTGATTCTGTGAATTCGGCCGCTCGAAAGTTAGAACTCGAACCAGCGCTCCAGAGCAGCTTTGACGATGTCCATATCTGGGTTCTCATGCTCATCAACAGCCCAAGCGACAATCCCATCCGGTCGGACCAACAAGGCGCGCAGTCCGCGCGTATCTTGTGCCTTTGTACCAATGTACGAGACTCGAGCGTCATATTTTCCATTGACAAGCAAGTTTTTGAATGCCCCTTCATCTTCAAAATCAATCAAGACTCCCCGGCCGTCTTCTAGCTTTGATCCGAATCTTGAGCCGTCGAGCAGCGCAAAGTCCGGGGCGCTGCAGCCAATGAGCGGGTGTGCGTAAGCCTCGCCATCGCCGAGTTTGTAACGTTGTGAAATGCCCGAGAAGCGCCCCATGAAGAAGTTGGTCCCGTCGGTCGTGTCGATGAGGTCGCGAATAATTCCCTGAACGGCTTGGCCATGGGGATCAGGCTGCAGCACGAGAGCTTGAGCGCGCGTCCAATCAAGCACGCGCATTCCAACAGGGTGACGCTCGCTTTCATACGTGTCGAGCAGTGCTAGGTTTTCTCGAGTGTCGTCAGAGCGGGATTCTCGTCGTATCGTCGCAGCAAGCTTCCAGCCTAGGTTCATAGCGTCGCCCAGCCCCAGGTTCATGCCTTGCCCACCAAGGGGCCCGTGGATGTGAGCTGCATCACCTGCTAGGAGGATGCGCCCTTTGCGATAGCTTGTAGCTTGTTTGCACCGGTCGGTAAACGTGGAGGCGAGATGGACCTGTGTGATTTCGACATCCGTGATTCCTGAAACGCGCTCGAACACGCTCTGGATGTGCTCTTGTCCCACTTCTTCTGTGCGTTCGAAAGCGCCGCCGTCAAAATCCGTCAAATACAGGGTGTCGGGCTCCCTGAAGATGTACAATCCGGCCTTTGTAATGTGGAAGCCCGATTTCAGTCTCTCTGGGTGATCCCAGTCGCACTGAACCACGTAGCCAGTGAACTTGGGTTCCGTCCCAACAAAGTCGAATCCGGCCAACGTGCGAACCACGCTGCGCCCGCCATCGCATCCCACAAGCCACTTTCCACGAAAGATCTGGTCTTTTCCAGCTTCCACGGTGACTGTGGCGTCGTCCTCGGATACAATCCTCGTAACGCCATGATCCCTTAGGATGGTCACATTCAATTGCGCAGCACGCTCCAGCAATACGGTCTCAACACGCTCGATGGTCGTGGGACTGGGCACCAAGCTCGGTCCGGGAAGGTAATATTTCCACCGAGCCATATCCCACTTGTTGGCATTAAGTGAGATACCAGCAAAGTGGCCGCCGAACTGGAAGCCTCCGGTTTTCTGGTAAGACAAGGGCCGCTCTTTGGGACCACAGAGATGGCTGAGGAGTCCTCGGCGATAGAAGCTTTCGAGAGAAGGCGTGTTTATACCGCGGAAGCCCAGAGGCTCACCCTTCCATGGTGATTGAGGGCTAGGATCACGCTCAAGGACCAGCACAGAAGTTCCGGCTAGAGCAAGCTCGCAGGCCAGGAAGAGCCCGATTGGACCTGCACCAACGATGACAACGTCGTAAAGCTCGCTCATGGTCAGGTGTTGTCAGTGTCCTGGAAGAAGTGGCGCGGAAGAACGAGTCTGGATGAAGCATTGGACATTATTTGAGGAGATTCCATGGCTCTTTTATACCTTTGCTGTCTGTGGTACGCACACATTGGCTTCGGCCCCGTGGTCGTGGAAGTTGTTATAGACACAGCAGCAGGAAAAGAAGCTGCATTCCTCGGGGGAGAATCAACGTCGTTTCGGGCGCCGCAAGTCTGGAGACTCGGGGATTCAACGACACGTTTCCCCGAGACCCACATGATCATGAAGCCCACCAATGAGAAGTGAGCTTATGGGCCCACCTTCCCGATTGTTCAAATCATGATTCATCGTTGCATCTGCCCGGAATTCTTCTTCCTGCACCATTTTGTAAGGTGCGCGGAAATATCCTCTCGCTTGTGATCAAATCCACTGCGGCTTCGTTTCAGTCGCTCCTACATCCACTGAAAATGAATCCTTCAGATCTTTCAATCAGGACACCCTCAACAAGACCGAGCTCCGCAGCCTGCATCCAATGTTCAGACCGAAAAGTCAGATGTGATAAGCAAATCCCATGTAGTACATGCATCAGACATAATGTGCAGTGCATTTTCCCCCCACCGAGAACAAAACCCCTCAAAACAACACGGAAATGGGTAAACGTCCACGAGTTTAATGCCCTGTTGAGGCAATATAAAGCGTTGCTCCGAGAGAAAGGCATCGACGTTAACCGGGTTGACGCCACCGCCCACCCTCTATGTGAGGAGCCTTCTACGACCAGTGACTCGGATGTATCTCGGACCAATGGGCAGTTCACAACGCCAGATTTTACCGTTTCCGCGGGACAAAGAACACTTTTCGAGCCCGAGCTATTGCACGAACAAGGGGGCACGAAACTTGTGCACAAGTAAGCAACAAACTCCAGTTTACGAGTCCATCAATGCACGAGGCTGAGAGTCCAATAGCAGCTTGTGGTCGCGAGTGGCACAAGAGGTACGTGGGGATGGGATTTTGTAGGCGTGGCAGACTCGCTTGCCTTTTCCTATTTACAGAGGCTTACAGTAGAGTCAGATCCAGGAAACAGGACATGAACTTGAAGATGGTTCAACTGATGGTTCCTGTGAAGGCCAGTCGCCACAAGACGATTTTTCTTATGTCCTGGGCTGCAATGCACCGGCTATTGTATCTTCACACCCGCCTTCCCAACACATTGATAAGTTATGGCGAACTTTCGTCAGAAACGTCAATCCTCTTACAAAGATAGTCCATGTGCCTAGCTTGCAGTCTGCGATAGAGAAGGCAGCTAACAATATCGACCACATCCCAAAAGGCTTCGAAGCTCTCATGTTTGCCATCTATAGCATTGCTACCTTGTCTCTTACGGAAGCTGAATGCAACGAGATATTGGGCGAAAGCCGGGCAGCCTTGCGTTCCTGTTACGTGGAAGCTACGAAAAGGGCTTTGTTTCGTGCCAAGTTCATGAGCAGCACGAGCATTGTGGTACTGCAGGCACTAGTCCTTCACCTTCTTGCTATCCGAGACGACCACGAACCGCGTGCGGTGTGGAGCCTTACGGGAGTGGCGCTTCGTGTTGCCGAAGGAATGGGTTTAAGTCTCGACGGCACACTTCTTGGTTTATCTCCATTTGAAACTGAAATCCGTCGACGCATATGGTGGCAGCTTAGGACACACGACTTCCGTGCAGCAGAGCTAAGTGGCCAGGCCAAGTTTCGAGACTTTGAAGTCAACGACACCACCCCTAAGATGCCCGCGAATGTCGATGACAGCGATCTTAATCCCACAATGTTGCAGGCGGCTGTCGAGTCGACGAAGCCGACTGAGATGATATGGTGTATGGTCAGGTCCACAATGGCCACCTTTGCTGCCGGACAAACAGCCAAGATGGCCAAACTCCGCAAGGTCGCCTTTACATCGGATGAATATCCCGCCATCGACGACTTGGAGCGCAAGGACGACTTCATCAGGGGAGTAGAAGACATATTGGAGACCAAGCACCTGCGATTTTGCGATCCATCTCAGCCCATACAACTCATGGCCCTGATTGGTGGCCGGACAGCAACAAACCTTGTCCGCTTCATGGCTCATCATCCACGCAGATGGGCCCACCAGAACAGTGTCCCAGCATCGGAGCGGCGTTTTGTCTGGGACATTGCCGTTCGACTGCTGGAGCAGTATAACATGATGCAAACCGACCCTCATCTGCGGCGCTTTGCGTGGCACGTACCCTATTTCATTCAATGGCACGCTGTTATCCATGTCTTGGACACACTCCGAACAGAGCCTCTTCACGTAGACTCTCAAAGTGCCTGGTCCCTCATCGACACCTTGTTCGAGAACAATCTCGGGATTATGTTGAGCATCGACAGACCGATCGTTGCAGCGGTGGGAAATCTCTGTCTGAAAGCCTTTGCCGCTCGAGAGGACGTTTTGAAGAGACAGAAAGCGGTTGTACCTCCTCCGCCGGAATACATAACTAGGCTGCGCGATCAGCGACAGGCCGCCAAAGCAAGGAGAGAAGAAGCTGCGATGAAAAGTTGGGCGCGAGTACCATTGAGCCGCCAACAATCGAGCATGATCAATGTCGACCCAACACCACCAGACTTGGATTCTGCGTCGAAAGACACGCCGCCTACGTCTCAGTTACAGCAAAACCTGCTCCTCAACCGGCAGGTCAGTGCCTTTGAAGGACGCGCCCGGAATGACGATGATACATTCTGGCTCGGAAACGGCGCTCGAGACGATGAAAATACAAGTTCCGCAGATGGTGCTGGAGATATGCTCAGCCAGTATACCGACGCCATTTTGGCCCAAGATTACGCGCTCAGTACTCCCAATGACGATGCCATAGATTGGGAGCGATGGGATACTTGGTTCGGCCATCTCGATCCTCTGTGTCCGAGTGCTACTCCACAGAGAAAGAGGGGGGTCAGCAATGAGAGCTTAATGTCCAGGTGAGGTCAACCCTCGAGGACCTGTTTTCGAGTGCCGATACTGGCGCACCTTTGGTTTGTGACGTGGATCCGCCGTGGCATCAAGAACTCGGTAGCGATGCAGGACTTGAGGTTTCTGCATGGCACTGCTATAGCCATCACAGACACAGCTACAAAATCCACCCACAAAGTCTTCTTTTTCCCTGGATCAAGTAATATGAAAATAGGAGTCTCGGCTTTGTTCAGCCACTGTACACCGTTATCATTTTTGCAGTGTTCAGACCAGCTTGAACTATGTCGGAATCACCAGGCGTGATTCATGAGAGTCACAAACGTATGATAGACTGGGCCACCAATCCCGGTTGTTACCCCATTGATACTCCTGGGTATCACCAAATTATTACTCCTATGTTCCAATACGAGCAACCTGCTTACTGTGCAGGACATTCTCCAGGGGGATCGGACAGCACGATACTCGTGCGTCAGTGCGCTGGTGCCGCGCGAAGGAAGCATTCGCGTCTCCTCTAGCCACCTACTCCTACTCGTACCTATGCACCTTCAGACTTCTACGGAGTATGCGTTGAAACTCCGTAAAGACTGACACTTCTTTCCCGGTTCCGCACGTTTGGTCGGTCCACTAGAATCCTACGGGATGGAATAAGATGAGATGGGACATGTTGAAACCACCAGGGATTTCCACATCCGCGTTCAGGTCGCAATCTGTGAAGGAAATACGGATGGTGTCCATTTCAGAAGTTTCACGGTCATCAAGATCAAGAAGAATGGGAGACCTGAAAACGCCATGCAGCAACAATATCTGGGGTTTTTATGAACGGACCGAGTTCGACACACCGCGAGGCTGAGTTATTATGGTCGGCACCGGTTCACAATAACACTTCTCACCCCTCTGTCCTAGCAGCACAGCTTTCATGCCTGGATCCCTCACTCCTTCAGAGAGGAGCTCCGGCACGGCCAGGGCCCGCAAATACCTTTGTCAGCGACTCCCAGATCGGCTGGCCCCCATATGTCAGATCACCCAGGGGTGGACACGTCAGAGGATCCAGAGCCGAGCCCAGCGCATCCGTGAGCAGTTTCAAAGGCACCGCCAGGGTCGAGTACAGCGGAGATAGCGAGTCTGGAGACACGGTGTCGACGATCTGCAGCGCGAAGCAGAGCAGGTTGTTCCCCTGCAGCAACGTCTCGGCGTTCAGCACGCCGCCGGTCAGGTCGCTGATGTCCAGCGGCGTGAAGGAGTTGACGGTGCCGGTGTTGCCGCCAATCGACGCGAGCTGGGGATACTTGACGAACGCGTCGACCAGGTCCAGGTTGAGCTGCACCACATCGTAGTCGACGGGGGCTTTATACCAGTTGTTGGGGATGCGTTCCCATCCGCGCTTGTACTGGAGCGAGCCGTCGTCGTTGTCAACCACGCCCCAGAAAGACTTCAGTACCTGTTTGGCTGGCCCAATAGTCAACAGTGCCCCTCGAACAAGCCGCGCTCTGATTACTTACTCATGATACCTCCCGGGTTTTCTGCCGAGTGATTCGAAAGCAAGCGAAGAGCAAGAGTCGGCCCAGCATTACGAACAATGGCGCCAGTCCAGGGTCCATACCAGCAATATGGGTTAGTGGAGATGCACTCGTTGAGCATGTCGATGGAGTGCTGCATCACATTTTCCGTCGAGAGAACGTCTGTATCGTTGCTGGCACGGTTGTAAAGTTGAAGAAAGCGACCCATGTCCATGATGGAAGCGTCACCGGTGACATAGAGATCGTTGCGCGTCATCGAAGCGTCTGTCTCGATCAAGTTGTGCGACCGTCCGATCCCCTGTGGTTCACCGAGGAGACCCAGCAGATTTCCGAGGAGATTCTGAGTCTGGGGGGATGCTGTATCGATCGAGAAACCTGGACTCAAGGAGAGTGGGTTGCCGGTCCAGACGGTGCCTGTGAAAGACTTAGCTGAGACCTCTGCGTCTGGAATGAATGTTGAGGTCGTACCAAAGACGGCGAGGATGGTCGAGAGTCCGATGCCCATCCCGTATACTTGTCTCATCGTCAACACCTTTGCTGTGGCGATGACTCGGCGAACGACTCACCCTCGTTTGTGGCGCCTATAATATCGGGAAACTAATGTCCACGGCATTAGACCTGCAACAACCATATTCCTGGGGAATGACCTACTTTTGCAATTCCAGACCGATCGATATAGCCATGGTTCGCCAACGCATTGAGCCCAGGACAGGGTCCCCTCTGCGCGCTGGAGCTAGGCGCCTGCCATTCATGTTCGCCGTCGACTTGTTGGAGTGTCAGTCCATATTCTCACGAGACAGTCCAGCTAACTAGAGGTGTCTTGTCTTACCTTGAATCGGGGTATCTAGGGGGTTGACCAGGAGTCTTTTCTCTCGTTGATGCTGTACTCGGCGCACAATTTCCTCAAACGTCAAGTCCTCCGAGATATCAATCCCTCCTGCTCTGGCGAGAAGTGCAACATTGGAAGCCGTGGGAAACGCCAGGCATGGCACACAGATTCCCAGCAATGCCGTACAAGCTGATAGCAACAGTTTCATCTCCACCAACCAAGAAGAAGAAAAAAAAAACGAATGACAGCACCACCGAGATGGCTAGCAGATGTATCAAAAGAGTGACTGAGGTGAGTATTGCCAAATGCTGCTGGACTGAGCAGAGGGCGAAGGTGATGTTCAACCGATCAAAGACATTATTCCATGTCGACGAGTTTGTGGTCGAAGCCCGTTGGAAGATCGACATTTGCACAAATGACTCTGATTCCGATGTCTGATTGGGGATGCAGATCCATGCTGTCGCGTCATTTCGCGGAGCACGGACGATCGTCAATGGAAAAGAGGCCAGCGAGGTTAGAAGTGGGTTGGGAGACAAGCGTGACAAGCTTCCTCCAAGAGTTGAGACTCCGGATGTGCACAGACTAGCGAATGGACCGGTGGGGGGGGGGGAGGAGGCTGACTCTTTGCAGATGTTGCAACACCGGATTTATTATCGAATGGTCCCCATTGTGGGATCGAGACAGTGGGAAAACGGGGGCCAAAGATGCATACTATCGTGCCACCATCGTCACTAGCCAAGAGCCAAAGTCGTCCCAGGTATTCGTGGACTGTGGCGAATGCATGGATCCGTCTCCACGTTCCTTAACGGCTCAGCTGGTGGGTCAGGTAGACACCGTTTGTCGGGGATGCAGCACTCTTGATGTTGGTCAATGGACGAGTCTGAACTTGGGCCCCTGGGAAGTCATTGGGTACAGACTGTACTGGGTACTCCATACGAGGAGACAGGCGGAAGAAGTCTTCTTGTAGTGGATGTACTCGGGACTCGGTACGAGCCTTGACTGAATGTGTGTCTCTGTAGATATATAAATGTGACCCTCACAACGTCACTCTACGGAAAAAAATCCCCTCAAAGCATCCTACTTCTAGCCCCTGGCCAGTGCCATGACTCGTCAGAAGGATCAAATACTTCTCTCCTGCTTAGGTACGGATAGACCATGTACTGTTCGTACTCGTAATAATCCTGGATCCCAAGAGAAGGAAGCTTAGCTGACCTACAACCACTGCGCACTAAGCATTCAGAGCTCTTTCCTGCAAGGCAGATCCTTACTGATGCTTGACTGGTTCCCAAGGTTCTGGGCATCCAGAATGTGGGAAGCGGGGAAAAGGAGGCGGCGACCCACGAGGCTGGGGGAACTTATCCGCCGTGCCTCGCGGATGCAGGCATATCCTAGTACGACGAGTCGTCGAGTTTTTAACGGGATTAACCAGGGGCTGAAAGTGGAGTCGGGAATGGGTTTTGGTCGACCAAGGAAGATCCTCGAAAGCTGGGTTCTTGTTAGTAAAGGAATATACCAAGAGGTGACATCGGATCCCTGGGGACTCATCTCGTCTTATGTGTTTGTTTGTGTAGATCACCAGCCCAGGATGCCTCGAGATTTGCGATAGAACACACAGAATGTTATACCCACCCACCCGTGCCATCTTTACTCGGGTCTCGTTTTGATTGCAGAGTCCAGTTCGTTTCCCCGTCAGTGGACACGTCCAGTGTGCAGATCTCGAAAAGGTCTAACAACCGGGAAAACGAACCCACGAGGACCAAGTGTTGCTCATGTATTCCATCCTGGTCACAGAAGCCGTCCTCCCTGCTCTATTCTGACTGCTGATCTTCCCCAGACACTCTCACTACTTTGGTATCTGTGCTTCTGTTCTATACTCGAATTTTCCAAGTTAGTGGACCGCATATTTCACTGTTACTTCAGTTCTCCACCGCTTCAACAACGACCATTTCTTCAATGTCGTACTCTTGTGCCTCCCTGGTGGGCTCTCCATAGCTCGAGGAACCACGTTGCTAGTACTCCTGGATCTGCTCGAGACTGGACTCAGAGCGCACAGGGGCGGAAGACTTCGAGGAGCGTCAACCAGTTCCCCCTGAGGTTAAACAACCACTCGACCTCTTAACAGACAAGTCATATCATGCCTGCACTGTTATTATCCTCTCATCAGTCTTCTCACGCCTGAAAGAAGATACTGCTTACGCTCGAAACATCACTTTATGACCACCACGTTATGACAATGAGATCGTTCACGGCCATATTCTTCCTAGTTGCCGCCACCTTGCTGGCTGTCGTCAGAGCCGACCTGGAATCTGCAGCGGCCCTTTATCCCAAATGTGGTGTAGGTACACCGCCTCCCCAGTCCTGTCGTCGCTGACACGTCCAGCTTGACTGCACTCTGGCGGGAATTGCTCAGTCGAACTGCTCTGCCACTGACCAAGCATGTATCTGCACGAACCAACAACTGGCAGAGACCATCACAGTCTGCGTGGCCATGAACTGTACGATTAAAGAACAACTAAGTACGGAAAGCCTCAAGGTCAAATGCCCGCAGCACGCTGACAATGAAAAGCCACGAAGAATGTCTCCCTGACGGCTTGCGGTGCTCCAGTCCGTGACCGAAGCAGTCTCATCTCTGGATTTGGAGCAGGAGGCGGCGCCGTGGCCCTGGTCATCTACGCGGTTCGGATATTTGCGAAAATTATCGTTCCAGCGGCGAGGATTGGCTACGACGACATCACTATTAGCATTGCAATGGTAGGGATTGAATCGACGTGTGTACCCTGAGGACTCGATTGCTGACTCTGTTGACAGCTTCTCCTCGTTCCTTTCTCAGCGCTGTCAGTAGTTCGTATGTAGCAGCGACTGGTGACACCGGAGATCTAGGCTGACGACTTGCAGTTGCCAGTCACGGCTATGGCAAAGACATCTGGACGGTGCCATTTGACGACATTACGCTTATTCTAAAAGTATGCCGACGACCTCACAGAGTGGGACAAAAGCACTGATAAATGAGCCCAGGTATACTTTGTTGACGAAATCCTCTACCTCATCATAATATCCCTGACCAAGGTGGCCATCATTTGCTTCTACCTTCGAATCTTTCCCGAAAAACAGTTTCGACGCGTGGCCTTTGGCACCATGGCCCTGACGATCGCGTACATGGTGATCTTTGTCATTGTGTCGGCCTGTCAGTGTGAGCCGGTGTCTCTGGCGTGGACGTCCTGGGATGGCGAGCACGAGGGTCGATGCAACAACGAGAACGCACAGGCGTGGGCCGCCGCAGCTGTCAACATCGCGCTGGACGTCGTCATTCTCGTCATGCCACTGCGGCTTGTGATGAAGCTCAACCTGCACTGGAAGAAGAAGTTACAGATCATGATCATGTTGAGCGTGGGAGCATGGTACGTTCTCTCAGCTTATGATGAAGCAATCTCTAACCCAGCCTCTTTCCAGTGTCATCGTCGTCAGCGCCCTCCGACTCGACACGCTCTTCATGTTCGCCAGATCCCAGAACCTGACGTGGGACACCACGGCCTTCGGCTACTGGTCCTGCATCGAGATGGACGTGGGCGTCATCTGCGCCTGCATGCCTGCCATGTACTCGTTGTTCAAGTACTACTTTCCCCAGATCCTCAGTGGCACGGTCCAAGGCAAGAGCAAGGCGAGCGGTGTTGTTGTCTCGGGTAGTCGGAGCGGAGCTCGCACTCCGGGGTTACAGTTTGACAGACGGAGGGACGACAAGGATGGGGGCAACGACTTTGTCCGCCTGGTTGACCTGGAGAGCGTCAAGGAGGAGCGAGTAGTCGGCACTGCGCCGGGGACGGCATGCTAGTCTTGTTCCTCTGGCTGGATCATGGATTTGTTTACAGGTATTGTATAAGCAAGCATACGGGTACACAAGCTTGGAGACACAAGAATACTTGAATTGATAAGGTGCGTCCCTCGCGACGCTTGTGTAGAAAATGTGATGATTAGTATGACTTGACTTGGCCTTGCTTGTATCGAATAGCGAGGGTTCATAAACTACAGCAAGACCTACGCGAGGGTATCGACTTGTCAGGCACAAAGGAACTCCTCGTTAACAAGACCTCCAGATAGGTACTTCCAGCCACGCTTCCTACCCTGACCGCCATATCCTCCGCCGTCTTCCGTCGAAGGACGAGAGCTGTGCAACCACCTCCCCAGGAACTGTGTTGCACGCAAGTTACGAGGGGTAAATGATCCCGCGCAGCCTCACTCGCCCTGGCGCCCTGGCACCCTGCCAGCCAAACCCCTTACTCGTAACTTGTTATGAGGTGAATCCTGTAACAGCCCGCCACCCACCGCTAGCAGGCTAGTCTCTGGAAAAGCCCCGGAATATCTACCCACAGCGGGATCGTCCAACGGCCGGCACCTAAAGGGAACTAGGTACGAGAAGTAGGCAAAGTGGACCCAGACTCCAGTGCTCTACCTCTAGAGAGAGAGGGAGGGAGGAGAAAGAAAGAAAGGGGCCCGCATTCAGCCCGCACGCTTCGGTGGCTCTCAGCCTTGCTCGCTACTCTACTCCATTCGACCTTGTTTGGGGCACATTGCGTCTCAATTTGGCCGGCGAGTTTCCTGCCCCATGTACCTACTTTGTAATGCGCACCTAGCTTCCGAATGTATGGGTTAATTAGTAGCGCTTCAGGGTGTCCTGGGACTTCTCGCTAGGTACTTACATAGCTTGGAAGGAACTGGCCCTTCCAGACATACGACATACACTGCGGAGTCCTCGCTCTACCTACTCGGCACCGTCTGGACTCCCTTGATGGTATTGGGGTGATTTGATGAGCATTGAGCCCCAATTGCCAGGAATAAGTCTAAAGCGCTTTCGTTTATGCACCTCCCGTGGGTACGGGTACTTGCCGAGTATAGGCTGGTACGCGGGTAGTGGGTTATAGGTAGGCACGTAGGGGTATTGCGAAGTGGCCCGCCAAAATCCATACCTGCCCGCCCGGCTATTCCCACCGTCGATGGAGCGAGCCATGGCTTCAAACAAGCCTTTCAACCTAGCTTTGGCACACTTGTCTTACCTAGGTAGGTACTGTAGGCAGGTGCAGAGCTTTTTGGTCGCCTACCCTGTGTGGTGTCTGTGGTCCCTGTGGCCTGGCACCGGGCAGTTCGTTCGACCAACTCTCCGAGCGAGAAGATCCCAGGAGGAGCCAATTGACGATCCCAATTTCCCAATCTTCCCACTCTCCCACCGTTTTCTCAGGATGATGGGATGTGATACGAGGTACACGTACGACGAACAATGAGAGGGGAAGGGGAGAAGCCATGGTGGACTTGCGCCCATGCATGAATGCCGACACCTTACATATATACTACTATAAGATAAACAGAGGACATCATAATGCCGCCGGGATCACTTCAGGTGACGATGTATGGGAGTTGAGCCATCAAAGCCTTCAGTTTGATTTGTTTGGAGTCTTTACTTTTTTTTTCATCCGATACGCGGTTTAATGCTATGGGGCCATGAGGGCGACATTGGCTTTAATAACCCTGTTGGGGGGCACGACGGTGTCGGCTCTGTGAGTATTACCATCATAGCATTTTCCTTTACCAAGACGTGGGAGGGTGGCCTGACTGGCTAACAACTCCTCCAGAACATCGGCACATAGACATTGGCATAATAAATTCCACAGGCGCGACGACAACAATATAACACAGACGATTCGAGTGGACAATTCCACCACAGACCCCACCGCATATGATTATGTCGTGGTCGGCAGCGGCCCTGGAGGCGGTCCTCTGGCTTCACGGCTGGCGATTGCAGGGTACAGAGTCCTCCTGATCGAGGCGGGAGACGACCAAGGCGAGGCAACGTGGCAGCAGGTGCCGGCTTTGCAGCTCCAGGCCACAGAGTTTACGCCCATGCGGTGGGATTACTTTGTCAACCACTACCAGGACCTTGCGCGGCAGGAACAGGATTCCAAAATGGTCTGGAAGACTCCCTCCGGAGACGAGTACGTCGGGAACAGTCCGCCATCTGGCTCGACTCCCCTGGGGATCTGGTACCCACGCACGGGAACCCTGGGAGGTTGCTCGGCGCATAACGCAATGATCACCATCTATCCACACGAGAGCGACTGGAATAATATCGCGTCAATCACGGGTGATAGTTCCTGGAGTGCCGGGAACATGCGCAAATACTTTGAGCGCTTGGAACGGTGCAGATATCTCCCCAACAGTGTCGTCGGCCACGGCTTTGATGGTTGGTACGAGACCAGTCTCACGGAATTGTCGCTGGCAGTCGAGGACCAGAAACTGTTGTCGCTCATAATCGCGGCGGGAACGGCAATGGGTAAGGGTCTGCTCGGGATGGTGCTCAACACGGTGGCTGGGTTGGGAGAAGTCTTGCTCAGAGACATCAATGCCGATGTTCCCGGCCGGGACTCTCAGGAGGGCCTGTACCAGGTCCCAATTGCAGTTACCGAGGTGGACAAGAAACGCAATGGTCCGCGCGACTTTATCCTCGACACCGCAAACGCCGTCAACGCAGACGGATCGCGCAAGTACCATCTCGACGTCAAGCTCAACACCTTGGTGACAAAAGTCCGGTTTGACACTTCTGGATCCAAGCCGAAGGCCGTTGGCGTCGACTATCTAGAAGGACAAAGTCTGTATCGCGCCGACCCTCGCGCGGGCTCAGCAGCGGGTGGCACCCCGGGTAGCGTCAATGCGAGTCGGGAGGTGATCATCTCTGGTGGTGCGTTCAACTCGCCGCAATTGCTCAAATTATCTGGTATTGGACCTGCTGCTGAGCTATCCAAATTCGGCATCCCCGTGGTTGTCGACCTACCAGGTGTGGGAACCAACTTGCAGGACCGTTATGAGGCAACGCTTGTGGGAGACAGTAACACCGACTTTGCCATCACCAAGGACTGTACCTTTCTCCGCACTGAGCCTGACCCATGCTTGGAGCAATGGCAAACTCAACCAGGTCCCTTTCTCAAAGGCACATACGCGACCAACGGTATTGCCATTGCTGTGATCAAAAAGTCGTCTGTTGCGGACGGGGATCCCGATCTCTTGATTTCTGGTGCTCCCGCATTCTTCACAGGCTACCATCCCGGATATTCGAATGAGTCACTGAAAGACGCCCACCACTGGGCCTGGATCGTTCTCAAGGCGCATTCGCGAAACAACGCCGGGACTATCACCCTGCGTTCCACCGATCCGCGCGACACGCCCGTCATCAATTTCAATTACTTCGACACAGGGATCACTACCGACGACGCCGACGAAAAGGACTTGCAAGCCACATACGAGGGCATGGAGTTGTCGCGCAAGATGTTCCAAGACTATATACCGCTGCAGGGCACGTTCAAGGAGGTTTGGCCGGGCAATAAAGCCACAACGGAGGCTCAGATGAAGGACTGGATAAAGAAAGAAGCCTGGGGACATCATGCGAGCTGCACATGTCCTATCGGCGCCGATGACGACAAGATGGCGGTCCTAGATTCCCAGTTCCGTGTTCGAGGTGTTGACGGGTTGAGAGTGGTCGATGCGAGTGTCTTTCCCAAAATCCCGGGATTCTACATCGTGCTGCCCACGTATATGATTAGTGAGAAGGCAGCGGATGTGATTCTGGAGGATGCTGCCAGTACGTGAGATCCAGTGGACGCTTGGACTGTTTTGCTCTGCATCATGGAACATGGTGTCAAAATAAGTGTACTTCTTAGTCTTGTTCTATTGCAGAAATAGTGTTGCATTGCACGGAACTTCGAAGGGCTTAATGAACTAAATTGTAGCATCTTTGACGGTGGTAGAGAAAACATCGAAGAGAAGCGTAGAGCAATACAGTCCTCGCCAAATTTGTAGTTGGTTATACCATTGCAACATCAAGGAAGAAATTGAACGACGAAGAGTCGAAGAGTTTCAGGGATTAAAAGCGGCACGAAATTTGTGCAGTGGGACAGAGCCAAGATGGTAAAGCGGCAACTGCGCAGCTCCCAATTCCGACCTCATGCCCGGTAGATCTATTCGCCTGCCTGTTCATCGACGTCGTCTTTACTACAACATTGCAAGCTGCCTTTACTTTCAGAGCTTTCTCGTTCGACTGCAGCTTTATAATTCCTTGCCGCTCATTTAAGTTGTCGAGGCTTGGTATTTCGGACCATGGAAGGTGCGCATCCTCTACTCTCCAGCATTTCACAGCTAATTTGCGACTCAGGCCTTTTGTTCAACGTCAACGGTGGCTATTTGGAGGGTATAGTTCGTGGCTACCGCAATGCGCTACTTACGAGCACGAACTATGGCAATGTATGTGGTCACTGCACCGCTTTAGGACACTTCACTAACAAAGTGCAGCTCACGCAATGCGAAACGATCGAAGACGTCAAGACCCAGCTCGGTCCTGCGTACGGCGAGGCGCTCTCAAACCTTCCTCCCAACCCCTCCACGTCGGCCCTGGCAAGCAAGACCACGGAGAAGCTAGTCGCCGACTTCAGATATCTCCAAGGACAGGCGACGGGATCGTTGGCAAAATTCATGGAATACCTCACATACTCGTACATGATTGACAATGTGGCACTCCTCATTACCGGGACTTTGCACGAAAGAGATACTAAAGAACTCCTGGAGAGATGTCATCCGTTGGGTTGGTTTGAGACAATGCCAGTTCTTTGCGTGGCCACCAATATCGAGGAACTGTACAACTCGGTCCTTATCGAAACTCCCCTGGCACCATATTTCAAAGGAAGTTTGAGCCATCAAGATCTGGATGAGCTCAACATCGAGATTGTGCGGAACACCTTGTACAAAAACTATCTGGAGGACTTCTACCGTTTCGTAAACACGGACCCCGAGATGGCCATGACTCCCACGGGGGAAATCATGTCAGAAATCCTCGAATTCGAAGCCGATCGACGAGCTATCAACATCACCATCAACTCTTTCGGAACCGAGCTGAACAAGGACCAGAGGAAGAAGCTCTACCCCGAATTCGGAAAATTGTACCCAGAAGGGATGCTCATGCTCTCGAGAGCGGACGACCTGGAAGGCGTCGGGCTTGCAGTCAGCGGTGTGGGTGACTACAAGCGATTTTTTGATGAAGTCGGATTCAACCAAAGCAGCGGCGTGGGCGCCGGGAACATGGCTGGAGGGGCGGGCAGTGAATCCAAGTCCCTGGAGGACATGTTCTACCAGAAGGAGATGGAACTCTCCAAGATGGTTTTCACTCGACAGTTTACCCATGCGGTTATATATGCATGGGTCAAGCTACGGGAACAGGTGAGTATCCCTTGTTGCGAGAGACACAGCTGCTGACCCTCCGGCAGGAAATCCGAAACATCACCTGGATTGCTGAATGCATCGCCCAAAATCAAAAGGAGAGGATCGGAAACTACATCAGCGTGTTCTAACATGGGTTAGGGTCAGTGTCACGTGGGCAGCACGGCGTTCGGTAGAAGGGGGTCTTGCTTTGCGGCCTTCCAGCTTGATAGCTCCAGACCTAATGAACAACTTTTTCAGCAACAAGTCAACAGCGCTTCTTTCAGCTTCTTGCGAAGACTACTTGATCCAACAACTCTCGGAAGGAAGGTACGTCTGCATTTTGGGGTTTCACCTACCGCCCGTGCAGACAGCCCAGAGCGTGGTTGCCTGAAGAGAAATCATCAACAGCTCACATCAATTGAGGCGCAAATCCATCTCATGAAGTGATTTGTGTCTGGCCAAATTATCGAAAAGACCATCTACATCGAACTTATTGTTGATTTTCCGCTCATTTTTGGTGTTATCGTTACCCTCGCGAACCAGCGACACAGCTTCACCTGAAACCAACAACCACTCGTTTGACTGATTTGATCTCACTACATCAGCAAAGCTATCAAAACCACAATGTTGGACTCTCATCTCTCTACAACACGGTTTCGCAAGGCTCAAAATCTTGAACCGGAACCGATCTCGTCGTCCACAGCATTTCCCTACAAGATCGATCCGGGGCATTGTTTTTCCGAATCTGACCTCAGGCATTCTCCCCTCAAGCGACGTGATTCCGGATTTTTCGAAGGAACCTGTCAGGTTGAAGAGAAATCAAACTTGTTGGCATGTGTCAGGGATGATAAGAGCCACAAACCTCGGGTCTCAACCCCAAAGTCTCACCCTGGCCAGTCCCCTATACCACAACGATTACGGGAAGTCATCCGACAAGACCTCTGGGACCCCAACACTGTCTGCACGGTGCACCATGGCTATCGTCATCCAGATGTTTCTAATGATAAACGAATCGCCGCGCTCTGCTCACATGCGGCGAACTCTAGTCAAAACGTGGAGGTTGTCAAATTCACAAGGACGATTTCTGGGAGTGGAGACGAGGCTCCGATGTTCGAGACTCGCCCGTTGTATGGCGCGGGTGCTCCTAACGTAGAAGCTCGCTTGCAAAAATGGGCCGCTGCACGAGCCATTGCACAGCGAAAACAATCACGCACGAGCGTTGCCACAATGAAGAAAAAGCAATGTCGAGCGTATGGAGGACTTCTAGCCAGCTTGCAAGGGCGCATCAACCGACGGCCAGGACGTACTGGGATCGTTCATTGTCAAGTGAACAAGCCTCTACGTTCAGAGAAGATGTTGCTTTCCAGCTACGAAGACGCTTTCAAGGGATGGGATGTTGCCATGTCGAAATCAATCCCAGGCTATGCTGACAACTACAAGAAGAGGCATTGGTACATATCTCAATGGGATAAACCAAGTCCTAAATGATGGCATAGGTGTGGTGCAGATAAAGGCTATAGCGTTCGGGCATTGGAGAGAATCAAACAGCGGTCTTTGTTGTTCTCGCCCTAGCCAATTGGTCCAGGTCGATCTCGTCAGTGGTGTAGGGGGCGCTGGTTTTGGCACATGGATTCAGTGTATCACCCAAGTCTATTGTATGCACAAAATTATCCAATCTAAAAACCCATTCTCCTTCTGACCATTCCTCGACCCTCACTCAAGATGCGAACAAGTCTATAGAGGACGCTGAGGAGATGCTAATTCTCCATTTCACTGGAAATTCTTCACCCCAAGGCCTCGTACGCAGCTCCGCCGCCACCATTCTTCGCATCCTTCTTCGCCACCTTGGCCATCCGCTTCATCTCCTTTTCCGCCCTCTTGTCGTCCTTCTTCCTCTCCTTTTTCGCCCTCTTCTCCCGCTTCCTCGCCTTGTCCTCCTCGGAGAAATCGCTCCGGGAACCCTGCAGGAATTTTCCTGGGTTGAAGACGTTCAAGACCAAGAGGGCGAAAAACATGGGCACGCCGTCGAAGACGTACGCGAACCACTCGTGCGTCACGGTCGGGGAGTTGATGCCCGTGCCGAACTCGACGAGGCGGTAGATGTTGCGGAGGATGATGAGCGCGAGGGTGATGTAGAGGAGGCGGAGGAGGGGCATGGCGAGGTCGAGGTCGGGTATCTCGACGTCATCTGGTGTCGTTGTCGGGCTGGGGGAGTCGGTCCGCAAGGGCAACGGACGCAGAAGGACAGATTGGTATTGTGCTTCGGTGTCGGTGGTGTAGGAAGCAGGCCGTGACGAGACGAGACGCCGCCTGTCTTGCCTGAGGTGCTTGACCTTGCGCTGGAACCTGATCGCCAGGGCGACGAAGATGACGAGGAAGAACAACTGCACGCCCACGCCGCTGGTGTAGATGTTCAGTCCCGTCTGCTGGACCGAGGCACTCACCCCGGGGCCCGTCATGGTGCCGCCGGTCGCCTGGATCAGGAAGGCCGTGATGTCAAAGGCGACGAACATGCGCGTGATGGCGCGGGCCCGGACGCGAAAGACGCGGTCGTTGCCCTCGGGTAGGAAGAAGTGGATCATCCGCCCCAGCAGCATGTAGATGTACGCGTTGATCCAGAGCGGCGCGAGCAGGATCAGCAGCAGCTGCGCCGTGTAGATGCCGCTGGACAGCTGGTTCTCGATCGACGAGACGCGCGCGACGTAGCCGCCCGTCTCCCACAGGGCGCCCATGATGAGAACCATGGCAAAGGGCTTGCGGTAGACGACCGCCTGGACGATGTGCGCGCAGGTCGTGATGCCGAAGAGGACCGTGAACAGAATGGCGGCTGCGAAGGATGGGCAGTACCCCCAGTTGTCATCGGGTCCTGTGCCCGCGTGGCACACGATCTTGGGCATTTCGCTTCAAAGTATCCCCCTTGTATGGAGTTCCCTCGAAGAGTTCTCTTGGAGAGAAATAGTGTTGCTCGAGGGCGAATTGAAGAATGACTGCGCGTGGGCGTGACGAGGTAGTATTTTTCTGCAAGGTAGGGTTGGGAATGTCCTCCAAGGTTGAAGGGGAGAATACAACGAACGGTTTCAATGGAGTCATCCATGGTTGATATAGATATGCACCCTCCCCTGGGATGTTGGACTGCTGAATGTGGCTGCCTGGAAAATCGACAAGTGATACTCGTCTGCGGTCGGCATCAGACAACATTGTGTGGCTTAGTTCTTTGCAGGGTTTCAGAAGCCGGTACGAGGTATGTTTCCACTGTCAAGGCGAGGGAATGAATGAGTTTAGCTCTTACGAGCTCGTCCACCAGCCCGTTGGCCAGCTGTTGGCGACGTTTGATGACAAAGGTGATGGTGATGTGGGCGAAGTTGAATACGACTTGGTAAGAGGGCCGCGAGGGGCGGTAGCATGAATTGGCCAAGGGGGGGTTTTGGGGGCCACTTGATGCGCAAGGCTAGGATGTGCAAGCGGTCATTGGTCAGAAGCTTCCTCGTATCGTCTAACCTTTCCTGGCTAGCGTGGGTGGCCTGGTTTGGAACACTAGCGTCCCTGCGTCGTCTGCTCCCTCAGGTACTGGGAACCTCTCGACACCGTCCCTTGCTGTTGCTCTGCCACTCTCGAGGAGTCTCCCTTCACTTAGACCTGGCACCTCTAGCCGCATGTGGCGCTACCGAACTCTGACAGCCCGTCAACACAGTGCAAACTCGGTTGCCTGCGCGGATGCATTGGGGTCCAGGAAATGTCTGGCCGGGACCGTTGATTTCCAGGCAGTGACCAAAGGGGCTGGTGAATTTCTTTCAGCTGTGTCTGTCTGTTCGCCTTGGACACGCTTGAACCTCTGACACAGGCTGATAGAATATAATAACATATGCGACGCTCGACTCGGACACATCTTCATCGAGCCATGAAGACAAAGGGCCCAAAGTCTTCGAAATCATGATCAGGATTGGAAAAACAAAAGTCCGAACTGGTTGCATCACCTGCAAGTAAGTCCAGTTCTAGCCCTGTACCCTAGCTAGCCAGTTCCTGCGGCTATGACCTCTCTCTAACGCGGTCGACCAGACGTCGACGAGTAAAATGCGACGAGACGCGACCCAGCTGCAACCGCTGTGTCAAGGCTGGGAAATCATGTGAAGGATACGCCAACGATCCGAGCTCGGGTCGAGGGAGCGAACCCGTGAAATTCGTCGTGTACACCCCACGCAATCCATCGCCTGTCTTGTCGGAGCAGCCAAACCTCGATTGGTCCGAGCGACGGGCCTTCAGCTACTACCAGGATCGGACTGCGTTGGAGCTTGCCGGTCCCTTCCAGCCGGACTTCTGGCTAGCGACCATGCTACCACTCGCAAGAGAAGATGGCTCCGTCAGACACGCTCTCATTGCCCTGAGCAGTATGCACGAGCACTATTCAGGGGTCGATCATTTCTCGCCCGCGCGAAGCGTCGACTTTGCACTGAACCACTACGGGAAGGCGATGCGGGAGGTTGTGCGATTCAACCACGCCCAGCTGGATCAGAATCTCGACCGTGCTCTGGTCCTCTGCGCTCTGTTCTCCGCTTTTGAGAGCCTTCAAGGTCAGTATCACGAGGCGTGCAACCACGCCGTGTCCGGAATCCGAATCCTGGCCGAGGAGCAACGAAATGCAAGTGCCAGTCCCAATCAGCCGCGGCTGCTCCCCAGCGATGACCTCGCCCGCTTCTTTGTCGCCATGGGCAGACAGATTCTGGAAATCGGCGGCCCAAACTTCCTGGGCCCCAAACCGAAGTTCTACCGTACGGGGACGACCACTGCACACATGCCGTACCAATTCACCTCGCACGAACACGCCCTGCTGCATGTGGAATCCCTACTTGCAGAACTCTTCGACTACGTCGAGAGGGCCGAGACTCTGGCGTACGAGGGCCCTGTACCTGACGACGTGGCCCAGGCCCTCCTGGCAGAGTTCCACGCGATCAAACCGCGATTTGAGGAGTGGCAGGCCGCGTTTGAGAGGTTCTCTGCCGTCGAATCAAACGAATACTCACGAGAGACACCCGAATCTTGCAGCTCGGCCGCCTCGTCGCCCCCGTCGGCGCAGCACGCCAGACCCCGGAGTGCCGCATTTCTCATTCTGCGGGCTTATCAAGCTCTCATGGTGGCGTTCCTGGCACGAGTCGAGTCCAACGACGAGGCCGTGTTCAAGGACCACGGAGCACAGTTTTGGACCGCATTGGACGCGGTGGAAGAGTTCATTCAATGTACCTCTACCCTTGTCAGGCCGGTGGACGGGGGCGTGTCGCCTCGACCACCACCGCCACCGTCTGACTGGTCAACGTCAACGTCAACATCAACATTAACGTCAATCTCAGCCACGAACGTAGCTCCGGCTTCGCAGTCTCTCTCACAGCTCCAACTACCACAAAACCCCCCGCCCGTGATTACGCGGCCGACATTCTCCCTCGCCCTCGGCGTCGTGCCGACCCTCTTCCTCATCGCCACCCGGTCCCGCGACCTCGCCCTGCGCGACAAGGCCCTCTCCCTCCTCCGCTCGTGCAACCGGCGCGAAGGCCTCTGGGACTCCCACCTCGCCGCGAGCGTCGTCGACCGTGTCATCGACCTGAGGACCAAGGCACGGTCAATGAGCCGCGCACAACTCCTCCTCGCCGACGCGGATCTCCTCGCGTACATACAGACGACAGAGAGGCCGAGTGGCAGAGAGCCAAATGCCTCTCTTGGGGGCGGGGGAGAGGGCGCTGGCCTCGACGACGACGTAGACTTCAAGTTACTGGACATCACCTTCCTCCCGCGCCGCCGATGTGCATTGCGCTATGCATTCGCCGCGAGACAGGCCACGACGCAAGGAACGCCGACCTCGATGTTGCACGGTGACGTGCCCGGTCACTTTCCCCCCGGCGGCGCAGGCGCGCGTTGTGTCAGGGAGTTTTGCGAGGAGTTGCGGTGGGAGCGATAGCAGCAATGCGTTGTGTGGGGGGGTTTACTATGGGGGTTTGCTCAGGAGAACAAACGGGGGAGATGGATTGGGTATTGTTGTTTCGATCATGAATATGGGTTGTTAGTGGGCTCCAGGAGTAGCGGCCAACCTCGCGTCGAGGGAATGTTATTAGGGATTACGCTGAATGGCACTGTATCCACTATATCCATAACGAGCAAATGAGATTCTTTGAATAAGCTTCTCATGCAGAGCATATCCATTCAAGAAAAGAACGCGGACTTTCCTATCTTCCAACATGCGGTACCACCTTGGGTAGATTGAAGTTGTTGGAAGGGTAGCTGGCTTCATAAAGCCACACAAAGTATTCGTCACGGTCCCCGTCGAGGCCTTCTGTGCTACCAAAGAATCCATAGTCCTGACCCATAAGACGCCATCCGCCTGGTGAAGACCTCTCCAGCACTTGGTTCAAGGAGCTTCGTTTCTTATTTTGCATGTTGTCGCTGTTTGTAGTTTTTTTCTTGGTTGCTCGGACTTTGTGCTCGCGTGGGCGAAACTCGATCTTTGAATGTCGAAACAGAAACACGAGATGGCATTCCAAATGAAAGATCAACGGCAATCCTACTCGCCATGATGGTTGCTCGTAAGGAGGAGTACGAGTATCACTAGAGTTTGAGTAGGCTCTAGCAACCAGCTTCGCACATGATTCTTGGACATCACTAATCATATTGGAACAGCACACTGATGCTCTCGCCATAATGCACCCTTCGAATCGCCTATCGAGAAAGATCATGTTAGCATTTGTCACCTGTCCTGTAACCCAAACATCACAACTAGTGTTGAACTCACCTCAGCGAAGACGTGGCCGACCTCGAGTACCTCCAACTTGGGACATCTTCTGACATGGTGCGACTGGTCCACGGTATTGGTGACAATAACTTTATCCAACGCGCTGGCGTTAATTCTTTCAATTGCATCTCCACTCAAAACACCGTGCGTCACCAAGGCATAGACTTTGCTGGCACCTTCTTTCTTCAGAAGTTTCGCGGCTCGGGTAATCGTGTTGCTCGTGTCGGCCAGATCGTCGATGAGAATGGCAACTTTGCCAGTAACATCGCCGACGAGCATCATGGTTGCATTCTGCCGATCGGTGATCTTGGTGGGTCTACGTTCTTTATGAATCAGTGCGAACTCGATTCCTAACGAGTCGGCGATGGCAGTTGCTCTTTTAGCACCTCCAGCGTCGGGACTAACGACCACTCCATTTCTGTAATCTGGAATGTTTTGCTGGATATACTTCTTCAAGATCGGCCGGCCGTAAAGATTGTCAACAGGAATGTCGAAGAACCCTTGATACTGTGGATCGTGAAGGTCCATGGTGATGATGTGATCTGCGCCAGCGCAGGTCAAAAGATCTGCCACAAGAGTACCTGCTTGAGCAACCCACTGTCGATAGCCCGGTCGAGGTTTGAAATTGTCTTGCGGATCTATTTTTGGCGGTGGAGCAAAATCATAATTTGCAATGCCGTTGGTGGCTGACGCTGCCGAATCTCCTCGTTTCCGTTGGCTTGGAAAATAGTCCGACTTTGTTGACGAGTGTGAACTTACATCCCGGTCCCGGTAGTGGCTGAAGCGGGCCTGGTATGTAGGGCTGTTCTCTACCTCATCGAGCTGTGACTTTGAAATAGCTTTGTGCAAGGGATGTCCGTTGGCAAGGCCTTGGCTTTCAGTCTTATCTGGATGTGGAGTTGGAGGGGTACTGTCGAAGGTGTAGCCATTCGCGTCAGGAACCAGCTTGTTGGACGCATTCGATGCCTTAACCAGAGGCGCACCGCTCTTGTTGTAGGGTATATCGGACTGGCGAGAATACGGGAAGAGTGGTAGGACAGCGGTGACCTTTTTCGCGGACGCAGTCTTGCATGCCGAAATGGCAATCAGAAGCTCGACGAAGTGGTCATTCACCTTACCACCACCAGATTGTATGATATAAACATCTTTTCCCCGGACCGACTCGCCGATCTCAACCCTGGTCTCTCCAACTGCGAACTTGGAGAAGAGAGCTTGACCAGGTGCAATACCGAGAATCTCGCAGATAGTTTCTGTCAAGGTTGGATGGGACGACCCTCCGAACACGACAATGTTTCTGACCATGGTGTCGCAAACAAAAGGTCCAGCGAAGTGGCTTACAGTGGTAGGCAAGGCGAGGTCGTAGAATCTGACGGGACAGGGCAAGGCAGAGTCAAGGGATCAGACCACAGGCGAGGGGTGGGATACGTGAAGTCGACGTTAGAACAGGCAGCCTAATGTGGGCCGTGAGGCCAAGGAAGTCGGGAAGTCAACCTGGTGGTTGACATGATATAAAAGAGAGAAAGAGTCAGTTCGCAAAATTGGAAAAGTTCAACTCCAAGGTAAAGCGCAGTTGGTGGTTTGCTCTCCCCACGAAACTTTTTGTCTCGCCCCACCTTCCGCGTCAGATCCGCTAGATTTCCCGAGGTTCCAAAATGTCGTCATTTCATTTATTGTCCATCGAGCCATGCACGCCATGTCGTTGGGTGCGTTAGATGTGGCTGCAGCTGATCCTGGTCTACATACAGAAGTGGGGGCAGGTCGCTCACTGAATTCCAAAAGAATATCTATCTTCAGGCTTGTAGATACTCGCCATCCTCACCCAATGTAGTCAGCGCCACTCAAACGCTGTGGCCCTCGCCTGAACGGCCACGTACACATGCCATCAATCCCCTGTATCAACCTCAAGATCCAGCTGGACATTGTTGCTGACACCGTAGTCCTGAAGTGTCAGCTGGTCTTTGAATGGTCTTTCGCCCTGTCGCTTGAGCAGTATCTCATGAGGTTGTCTGCCAATCATCGAAGCAACGATAACTTTGAAGTCCTCTGTTCTTTCATTAGCACGGAAAAGAAGCCCACGGTAGCTGCGATAAACTCACTTATTGGATCCGTGGGATAGCATGGAATAGCTTTCTTCGTCCCCAATCGGTCGTTGACGTAAACAATAATCATAGGCTGCGCTGGTATCGCAGGCGCTGGTTTCTTCTCTTTCTTGTCTGGCTTGTCCTTCCTCTTTTCTTCGTGGAGTTCTGGTTCCTCTCGATCTCGGTGTCTGTTGCGATCTCTGTCGTCTCTTCGGGGGGAACGCCTCCGAGGAGGGGGGGTCCTAGATCTCGAGCGAGGTCGATAATAATCTCTATAGCCTCGCTGCAATCCTGCTTCTCGGTCACGTCTCGAGTCGTCATCGTCTCGACGTTTTTCCTTCCATTTGAACCCTGCGTCCTTGCGCCGCGGTCGATCCTCGCGCCTGTCCCTATCCCGTCGAGGAGACCTGCTCCTTCTGCGGTCTTCGCCCCTGGACGATTCTCGCTCTTTCCTGTCAGTATTCGTGGGTGGAGGTGAGGATGGTGAAGTCTCACGCTGATTGTCGGCCATTTCGAGGCCAAAGCGGCGTCCGAGGGATTTTAGAAGCGTGAGTGGAAGGGCGTGACACGTAAAGAAATTCACAGCGAACCGCCATCAGGGACCGGAAAAATATGGTGGACCGGAAAAACTTCGGATAAACAGTACCTCAGTTTGTGCTTGGAGCTCGTCAAAAGTATCAATGAATGTCATCCAAATTCAAATGATTCTCACCTAGCGTTTTTAAACTCCACGAATACTACCTGCCGACACACGTCCCGCCTCCAAGTCTCATGAATACCTTGACCTATGAATGATGTTACAGAATCAGCTTCTTGACAACAAAAAATTCCCAACAAACGTCGCAACAGGACTCTACTTGCCGGGAAAAGCCATTGTACGGTGTGGCGCTGTGATCCGAATCGCTCCATCGGAGCCGCTTCACAAGACGTTGGGTTCCTTGACAGGCGCAAGGTACAAGGCAAGACTACCTAGTACAAAGGAAACCTATGAAATGAGTGTATATGGCTCTGTCATGTGCCCTCATAGTCCTCGGCTTCCTCTCCTTCCACCCGAACTGATTCGTAACACGATGGCGAAGTTGGGCAAAGGTTGTTGACCGTTGAAGGTGCTCGTGCCGATGTGTGGTCTGGTACAAGTGCCGCCTCATAGCCTTGTGCGCCTGAGTGTATATCTCTTCGTCTCGGCCAGCCCCGGATTGGTTAGCGCTTGGGAGTTAGTCGCATCGAACGAAGCCGATATCGTCTCGACTTCTCAGGGGTTCGTGGAGACGAAGGTGGTGGTTGAGTAGCACGCGGCGTGCCACTTTCCGGCGCCTCTGCGACACTCTTCTCTGAAGTGATATGCTCAGGCTCAGAAGACTCCTCCTCATTTGCTTCCTCTGCTTCGACCATCTTTTCTGCCTCCTCCCGCATTTCAGCCATCTCAGTTTCGAATTCAGCCACCCTCTTCTCTACCTCGACTTTCTTCCTCTCCACGATCTCCAGCTTCTCGTCTACCTTTTTCATCTTCTCCTCCACACCCCCAATCGTGTGCTTCATCTTGTTGACATTGTCTTCTACCTTGGAGATCACCCTCCATACCTCGGCCAAGTCTTTCTTTTCCATGACTGTGCGGTTTCTGGGGTCTTTCACTTTTTGCTCTTGTATCATCTTCTTCGCCCTAAGCATCTCTTTGACGGCAGCGTCGGCATTCTCCAGTACTTCGTCCATCTCTTCCTCTGCCTTTCCCAGCACATGAACTATGAAAGCCTGTCGGTAAAGATCATAAAGCTTTGTCGAAGGGATTTCGAGGGGTACATCCTCAAAGGGTTTCTGCAAATGCTCCTGCTCTTCGCATATGAAATCCTTGAGGGAGAGATGCAACGAGCAGTCTTTGACGGCTTGTCCGTTTTCGTCGAGAAAGCTCTGGGTTGTCATTAGAACCTCCATCACAGCATGAGCACTTCAGGATGCCGGAACACCACCCCTTACCTGATTTTCAACCACTGCAGTCCGAATCCAATTGTTTCCAACATGTTGGGCTCTCCAGACCGAAAATGTCGCCCCGCGCCCGCCCCGGTAGATGTCAATCATATTCAAACCGACAACAGTTCGAATTCTGCCCTTCTTCAAGTCGATAAATCGCTTAGCCCTCTCTGGCAGCTTCAATTTTCTCTGAGACCACGCCACTTCTACCACTAGGTCAGCAATTGTGCAGCCCTCATACACGAAAGAAAGATCTGGCTCCATTCGGCCGCCGTGAGGCCCCGCCCGCCGTACCGTTGCTGCCGTCACAGGACGTATCTTGGTCGCGGCTTTCATGGTCTCATCTTTGGTGCTCTGAACCGTACAAAGTGTCCCCGTCTGAATGTCACTCAGCCATTTCACAATCTCCGTATTGAACCCGCCAACCATGCCTTCGTGAAAGACAGACGGCATGTGAATCACGAACTGCTTGCTGCCTTTACAAGGGCGGGGTATATAGTCGAAGCTGGTATCTCATTAGCCACTCAAAGCCAGAATTTCTCAAGGAAGCTTACCGAAACCATTCTTTCTCCACATATTTTAGCAGCTCTTTATGTGCCTCCTTCCTCAATTCTTCCCATAACTTCTGATAGCCGCGATAGTGAAGTGTTCGCTCAATCAAGTACTTTCCACCAGGCCCACCCTTTTTCACCGCGTATGTACCGCTCTTGAGTTCTTCTATCGTTTTCAACACTCGCTTAGCATCTGCGACATCCTGTCGTCGTTCTCTGGGCCCAGAAACCCAAGGGCTCCCTGAAGATGCCAGACTGTTGATGCTTTCAGAGGATACTGATCGGCTTCTGTCAGAACGACTGCCCAGACTAGAGTCTGACTCTTCGTCAAAGGTCTGAGTGAAGTGGGAGGGAGTCGGTGGAAGGACTACCGTCTCCCTTGAAACTGAAGATGGCGGGGTTGATGATGGTGGAGGGAAAAGAAGTGGCCCAGAGGGAGTGGATGTCGGTTCAACAGCTTTGGCTGAAGTGGGACTGGGTGAGGAAGGTAGGGTTAAGACCGGACGCTTTCGCTTGAACCGATAGGACAGCGGCGAAGAAGGTGCTGAAGCCGATGCCTTTCGCTTGGAAGAAGTATGTTGGCTATCAGGAAGATTTGATGAAGGGCACTCTTCCTCCTGTGATGCCGAAGGCTGCGGTTTGACCGATCTGAAGAAGTCTGTGAGGGAGCGGCGAAAGCGAGAGATCCTATCTCGCTCGCTGCGTGTTGTCATTTTAGAAGAAGGGAAGGCTGATACATGAGGCATCTAGCTGATTTATATAGTGGCACTCTGTACAAGGGACACAGTGATACGCGTGACTGCATGCTCTACATACCATCGTACTTCGGCACATGGTATGCAAGCGATCATAACTCTCAGACCTTACAGGTCTGTGTAAGGTCTGAGTCCCGGGCCCAAGCTTGGAATTCATAACAAATTTTATTTTTACGCTTCCAAGCTTTTTGGTGTCACCGGGCCATCGACCTGTCTCTCGTCCGTGACAGTGGTATACAAAGGCACTGACAGAGGTAGGTAAAGAAACGAAGCGGCCAGTAGTCTAGATAAGAATCTAGCCTCCTTGCACAAGTGGGTAGCCTCATTGCTGGTGGGTCTTGTTCCCTTGGCGCACATTACACATATAGATAGCTGTCGTATGCACTTTCTCATAGGTAGTTATCCAGAAACCCATACCGCTCCTTTAGGCTTTACAGGGCCCCTCACTAGAACACCGCATTCGGCTGTTAAAATGAGGTATTCGTGGCCAAGCTCCGTCGACTCAAGGAGTATTCTACCTCTCGTAACGCCTTTATCGATGTCCTATTTAGGCTTAGTCTATGTTTAGTGGCACTAAGTTTGTAGTCCACTCGCTTTACGTAATATAGTAACGCAAGGAGGAGGCCAGCCACGGTGTTCTCAGTAAGAGCCTGTTACCTCCATCTTCTCTAGGAGGTATACCTGTCCTACATCTCCTAAGAGCCCAGCCTCCTCGCATAAGAGTCTCACCCTTCTCTTATACTTCAAGTGTTAGCAATTCCATAGGGAACCCGCATGTGCCGCGGATAAAGACACACCGCCTCCGGACTCAAAGCCCTCCTTGAGTCTCTTGTTAACACCCTGACGCTTGCCTAGAGCTCCTGATGGTGGCCGAAATCGCCATCCTGACCACCTTATGACGCATATCGACCTGGTAGAGGTCAACTGTGGCCACCCGTTCACGGCCGGGTTTGATACCATCCTCTGACCCACCCTTCAGAGCAGCCGCCATCCTCAACATTTTGTGTGCCCAACTTTAGCCAGCCTCATCTGGACGGGTGTACGGCGTTTGTGAATCTGGGCCAGACCCATCGGAGCTTTCCCTTGAAGATCAGCAGACTTTAGCCTTTCGCGAACCTGCATGTGATGGATGGCCCTTTGAGCTGCCTGCCAAAGCAGGAGTATTTCTGACCATAGATTTACTGTCGTCAACGGCGGCAACAGCGGGAATTGGGATGAAGAGCTGGAACCTGTCTGCGTGGAATGCTGAGTCGTTCACCCTGGAACTACTTGATAAGCATCTGCGCCGCAGAAGTACGCTGAAGTGGGTTCACGACCGCCATCTCTGCAAGCCTTGACAGTCTCGTGTGCAAGAGTGCACATGAGACTGTAGTCTACACTTGCTCTATCTGTCTGAAGTGGATTTGCTGAGATCCATCCACATCCAACGTCCACATCATTGCCACAAAGAGCGACCAAACATCTGCTTTGCAACTCTGACGCTCACCTTTATGAACATCTATGAACCTCTGGGGCCACGAATTTGGCTTCCGGGAATTATGGCGGCTTCAACGGCAAAATTACAGCAGCTAAATAACGGAAAGTGATACCTGCTACTTGCGTTAGAGACTTGAAAATGTTCTCCCGTTTCATGTCGCGGTGGATGATGTTGTTGAATGCTATGCAGCCAAGCGGCCGCAGCGTGTGCGGGGAGCCAGTGTTCGCAACAGGAGTTGTGTCGGCACTGTTTCCAATCAATGACTCCGAGGTCCCTTCTTTGAGGCCCACGAAGATGTCCACATCACTGGCGAACCAACCTTGTGACGCTATATAGTTGACAATATTTGGTTAAACAGGCATCAGGATGGACAGAGGTAGCTAATTCGGGTGTGACTCGGATCTAGATCCCATGCTTCACTGAGAGAGCCATAGTTTTCTTCCATACATTCTTCGTGATAAATCTTGATGTCGTCGTAGTAGTACCTCTCCCTAGTGTTGTGAGGGCTATGGGCGCCTTCCCACATAATGGGAAGCCAATAGTGAAAGTCTGTTATCAGGATGAGAAAATACACGTTCAGCCTTGTCGTATTCTGGGCAAGGAGAGAACCAAATGTGGCTATACAGGTACCTGCCTGCATGGAACGAAGAGACGCAGATGCGCTATGTGGGTGGAAGAAGATCGGCAATAGGAGCTCTCTCCCTCGCTATTGGCAGAACAGTTGGAAATGGTTCGATCTGAAGATCAGGACTTGACAAGACATGTGAGGCTGGTAGTTCGTCTCATCTCTTGCCGCGCGCCAAAGCGAGTCCCACGGTATATTTATCACGTGCGCGCTGTATATCTACCACTTGTAACCTGCCTTCTTCGCATGTCCCTTACTCTTGCTTCCAAAACATTGTCTATCTACCTCAGTGTCTACTACGCACATGGCTTGCCTCGGTGATTCTATCCGTGGGGACGGATTAATGCGGCTTCATGCAGCTCTAGCCGCGATAGAGGAAAACTTCCCGAAACTCAGTGGCAGCATGACATTGTCACGATTCAACCATCCACCACCACTTTACGCCTCAGACCTATCCGGGACGACGACTCGATCACCGAGTCCAAATATCCTGACTAAGGACCAGCAAAGTCGGCGAGACAGGCGAGACCGGCTACTGGACGAGCGAACCGCCTCCAGACCTAACCACCAGTTCCGGCAACAGAGGGCGGAAGAGGAGGAGCGCATCATTGAGGCGGACAGGAATCAAACGCAGTGTCTACGGGTGGGCGAAAGCTTCTCAGAGGTTGCATACGATATTGTTAAGAAGCGATGGGTCGAGCCGGGCATCTGGAGCGACAAATGGACATCCACAGCCCTCGGGCGATGGAAACATGAAGAACCGCTCGAGATGGAGTCGGATTGGGAAACAGACCCTGAAGTGCCCCCTTACTTTCCCTCTCCGAGACCAAAGCCGAGACGCTTAAAGAGTGATGATGCACGGCGACAGATTGCAGATCGTCGAACTGTCCTAGAGCGCGAGCGTGAGGCGTCACGCCCCTATTATCAATTCATCTACCAAATATCGAAGGAACGGGAACGAATCCATCAGAAGACAGCGAGCGGAGAAGACGACTTCCCTGAAAGATATTAACACACGAGCCTACGAGATTGTCAAGAATACCTGGCATCGGCGAAAGATTTGGAACGAAGCATGGGATGTCATGCCAGGAATGTCATGGAAGCATGAAAAACCATGGGATCAAGCGATTGCAGAGTTTGGTCTTGAGTTGACTCCACCGAGAGAAGTATCAAATCCCGCTCGCGTAACCCGAACTTTGGATCAACCTACTGCAAATGGGTCCAACTTGACCGTCGGAGGTGGCTCTTTTCGTTTTCACGAAAAAGGTGACTGGGCACCCCTACAGGAATCATACGGCCATACCGAGCCCTCTGTCTCAACACTGGCTCGACTTCAAACCCATCCAGATCGCACAAACCTCGCGCTCGAGCGAGAAGGAACCATGCGCCGCGGCCAAACAGGAACACGATAAGCCGCGATCCCTGTCCGGCGGACCACTTGACCCAATGAATTCTTCCACGATGTCAAATTCGGCTGTTAAGAGGAATGTGGCACTCCAGCGACTATCTAAACTGGCTCAAGCGTCGCACAACAATACCATTGCGTCAACCCAGGTCGCTGCATGCATAACCCCACGCCGAAGTGAACGAATTCCGCTCCTCAAACGTGCCCCCAGACAACAAGATGGACGAAATCACAGCACGAAAGAACCAGAGAAGAAGTACTTCACGCGTCCAAAATAGGACTACAAGTACACCGAATAAGGGAAAAAAGTAGAATATCTGACAAGGACAACGCGAGTGGCGGTCCGTCAATGAGAAGGGAAGCGACTGCTACAGCTGCATCCCCAAGCTGACCTTACAGGTAAGAGTGCCGGAGCTTTGACCTCGCCAAAGAACGTTGTCGTAAAGTCGTCATGCGTAATTAAATATGTGAATTGTGGCCCCGAAATTCCACTCGGCGACCGACCGATAAGCGTCAACGATGCTGTGAGTAGGAAGCGGCAGGAAGCCAAGTCGTCGGGCTCGGAAACGATCAATCTCTCTGTAACGATCCACGAGCCCGTTCAACCAGACACCGAGCCTACGGAACGCTAACCACGTAGCCTCCTACTACTGCCGTTTGAAGGGAGCACGCGTTATACCAAAGGCTCGACGCGGGGGAATGATTCTCCGTTCCGAATTTCAAAGTTCAGCCACATATCTCGCACAGGTCTATATCTCTCTCTTCCCTTCTCGTCTCCCCTCTCTCCGTAAACACAAAGCTAAGGAACGAACCCCTCGTCAAATCAACCTGACACAAGCCATGGGATCATGTTCACCGGTCCTCGCCAGTATCTTTCCATCCACCTCCCAAGCCCGACAACGGTCAGCTTCACCGTGTCGACGAGAGAGCCGGTCCAGCAGCCCGCATCATTGATAAATCGGCCTTCGTCTTCGCACCTCTTACATCTCCGACGTGTCCCTGTCTTTTCTCTTCTGAAGCACGCGCTACGGATCCTCCTCGTCCTGCTCGTCCTGCTGGTCAACCTCACGAAAGCCCGGATCGAGGCACCACGGCCATCCTCAGGCCTCGACGCGTATGCAGACTTGGAACTCAAGCTCAGTCTGGTCGGCGGGACGATCGGAGCCATCGCCGACCGCGCAGAGTGGTGGGTCCTGGCGCCGGTGAGCTTGGTCGTCGTGTACGCGTGCTTGAGGCGCGACTATGTCGGTATGTGCGCTGGTCTCTCTCCCTTTCCCCGCTCCCTGTACTCTATGCTCGGAGCGACGAGTCCTTGTGCCTAGGTCCATACCTACGAAGCTCTTCCTTCTCGCTAACCCCCCCGGGCAGAAGAATCCCTCTTGGTCCTCCAAGGTCTCGGGATCCAGACATCCACTTCGTCGCGCTACTTTTTCACCGGCCCAACCACGACATTCATCCCTACGACGCAGATCCAGGACATCGTCATCCATGAAGCCTTCAAAGGGCTCGAAGTCCGTTTTTACTTGGCCGTCATAGTCGAGGGGGCTACGGAGGTGGTGGTCGTCTTCCCTGTAAGCCGTTCAACCTGTTCTACTGATTGGTACCGTGTCAATGGAATAAGGACAGAAGCTGATCGTGTTTTTCATCCTGCGTTCAACCTGTAGACTCTCCTTCCCCGCCGCGAAATTCTCGAGGAAGTCTGGCGAGGGGGTCGGAAATGTTTGTATTCCGGTATCCGCTGAGCAACAGGAGCGAGGCCAGCTTCTAATCTATTCAACTGCAGCATTTGTCTCTTCAAACTCCTCCTTGGCTTTATCTCTCGCTTCCCGACTCTTTGCCCACTTGGCATTCAACACCTCCAAGGTGTCCATCCTCGGCTTCTTCATCACGGGCACATATCGACCACTGATTCTGGCTCTGCTACTCCCGTCAAAGACCTTCTGACTTCGCGCTCCCGACTTTCGGGGTCCATCCCGTGTCGCGCCTCTCTGGAAGGGGGTGCCGTCACCCTGAGAGAGCGCCAGATCGAGGAGACTGCCAGAGAGGAGTTCTTGCGTCTTTGCTTCTCGCCACTGGGTCCAGAGTTCGTCGACGACCGAGCCAGTGCCGAATTTCCCGTCGTTCTTGGTAGAGTTTGTCGTGAGCGCGGGCACCGTGGCTGCGTCCCCAGCATACAGCCAGTTCAATGAGTCTTCCATCACTCCGCCCTCCCCGCTGTCACTGTCGGGAAAGATGCAGTCCCACAGCACCAATGGCGCGTCGTCGGCCATCTCGTACGTGGGTCGACGGGGGTTCTTCTCGACATCAAGCAACTCATCGATAATACTCGGCTCCTCGAGGCCCTGGCCGACCAGGAACAATAATGCCACCATGCACCGCACCTGATGCCACAGGAACGCGGTGCCGTGGACGCAGAAAGTATACACCTTTGGGCCTCCAGAAACCGGGGGAACCGTTCCATTCGCGAGCGCAGACGAAGCCGACCCGGTCTGATTCAGAGCCTCGTGTTCCAGAAACATCCTCCCGTTTTGGGGAAACTCGACCACGTCGGCAAACGTGATCCTCCTCACGCAGTTGGGCATCTGTTTGCTCGCGTCGATCTTGCAGAGGTTTCTGAAGTCGTGCACCCCGACAAGCTTGCTCGCGGCTTGCCTCATCTTGTCCACGTCGAGCCAGCCCTCCCTGACGACGCCCGCGGGATCCTTTCCGTCCGAGCGCCGAAGACCGAGAGGGCCGGGCGTGGGGCAGAACGCCGGGTTCGTGAAGAAGTATTTGTACCGGCGCTCGCGGCAGGAGAAGCGCGCGTCGAACGTGGGTGGCGGGGAGGGGCACCAGGCCAGAACGCGGATGTCGGGCGGGAGGATCGAATTGAGGAGGGATATGTACGGTAGCTCGTCTTTGACGGGGTCGAAGGGCTTTGCGCGTTGATCCGCTGCGAGATCCGCGACGTCTATGGACGGCATAATATCACCTTGGCCACTTTCATGTTCCACCACACCCGCGTGCTGCGCCCCGTCCCCTTCTCCCTGCACAGATTCCTCCGGAGCGGGTTCTCGACTGGTCTCAAGAGCCCGGTTACTCCTGACACGAACCCCAATGACCTGGCCGAACGCGGACACGCCCCTGTCCGTCCTCCCGCATTTGCTGTACTGGCAGCCTTCCCAGCTGAGGTCCAGCCGGACCCTGCCCTGCACGCTGGGATCCGGACCTGACCTCGGCGCTCCCGACTCTCGCGCACTACTCCCCTTGACGTATGTCTCCCGCCTCTTGTCCTCGCCCCACACCACGTCGTAGCTCTCGTCGCTCCCCTCGGCCAAGCTGGGCGAGATCAGCCGCGCCTTGCGCAGCGCCTTCCACAGCACCTCCTCGACCGTCGGCTGCGCCGTTACATTGCCGTTCGCGTGCTCGTACCCGCCGTACCGCCCGCCCAGGTACGCGAACTTCAGGGCAATGTGCCGCGTCGAGTATGCCGCCGGGTTGAACGGGCGTGCACGCCTCGGGGAGTGCGAGCGCGAGCGCGATTGCGACCGGGATCGTGGCCGTGACGGATCAGCAATGGAAAAGGGGATTTGCGCGCCTGTACAAGGGCGGGCCGGGAGGAGAGATGTGATCGGAGGGTGGGAGGGTCGTGGAGATTTCGAGTCATTCCCGCGTGTCGTCAACGAGGCCAGCAGCGCCGTCTGTTCGCGCAGTTGCTGTTCCAGCGCCGTGATGCGCCCGACCAGCTCGCTGGTGCTGTAGCTCGCATAGTCTTTATCCATACCTGTCCGCACAGCAGCAGTAGCGAGAGTGGCAGCGTGCCGCAACGGAAGGAACGTACAGAGTTCGTAGTGGCAGCAGAGAAGCCGGCGTGGCACGAGCCCGCTCGCGAGAGATACTGGCACCGCGGGAGGAAGAGCAGGCATTAAAAACACACTGGCCCAAGCGCCCCCGAGGACATTGTACCACACAAGCGCTGTCGTACCCACACTACCTACTCGCTAGGAAAGAATGACAATTGTGATTCACAAGTGTGTAGGTTTGGGTGTTGCGTCACGGACTTTTTCTCTAGAAATGCCAGAAAAAATCTGGATGAACTTCGGGACAATTTAGTCCGAGGCGAGGCTACATCACAGCCTTGCGAGATCGAGGGGGGCGATAGAAACGACACACGGGTTCTATTGTTTCGCGCTATCCGTTACAGAAGAGGGCAAAGCATCGCCCTTGTCGGCCTCACGTTATCATCGTTGACAGTCTCCAATGCTTGCGGCACTGACAGAATATCCAGCGAACCAGCAGTTCCTACATGCCTCACTGGCCTCCACCGGGGTTGGCTTGGGGTTGCACCGTCCAGTTGACTCCAGCCCGTGGCCAGCAGTAGTCCCCTAGTCCACTGGGTCGTTGTTTTCCTGTCGCGCTTCGTGAAACTCTTGTTCGTCGTCCTCATCATCAGGGCTATCCTTATTTTCTTGTTCGATGTTGTCAACTTGTTCCTGCGAGTCCTGGATCTCGATCTCGTCCTCTGCATCGTGCATTTCCTCGTCTTCGTCTTCTGTGCCGTCATTGTCTTCAGCTGCCTCTTCGACTGCGTCCTCTTGCCCTTCTTCACCTCCGTCGTCCACATGGTC